GCAAAGAATTCCATCTTCAAAGCACACAGATACTTCCTTCACCATCCAGCTGAAGCCATTATTATATTGTTACCTACACAACAGAAAATAGATCTGGATAATACTCAGGATCATCTGCTGATACAAGCCTTCACATATGTGAAGATCATTAGAAGTTTTAAGAGAAATAGGGTTTGTTCCAAGTCATTTTCTTCTAACATATGAGAACTCTTATAAACAAGACAGCAAATTTTAGATGGAATTCAGGGAACACACACTCTTCCCTCTCCATTTCTATGTAATATGATCTATTCTGTCCTATAGCATGGACAAGGCATTAACCCCCTAAATACCTGTAGCTTAAATCTGCAAGATCTTTTCTGGCTTTTGTTGGAAACCACCACTCATAAAACAAGATATGAAAGTAAAAGTCACTTTGAAAAGAGTGTGTTTGCTTTTTTAAAAGCCTCCCCCACTCCCAAAATTTCAGCTATGGAAAGAAGAGTTATTTAGTAACCTTCTCTTAGGACTCCTAAAGGTCCTTGTATTCCTTCAGGTCCAAGTACCTCCACTTCATCCACATCAACTATCACAGTGCCAGAAAACACCAAGAGAAAAAACAGCCACAGATAAGGGAGAACAGCCATTAATGAATTCTGAAAAGCAAAAGCAGGATGAAACAAAAATACCAGCCCAACTCATTCACCACTCACAGCTCAAACCTATTAGTATTACTTCCTGAAAAAATGGTAATCTAACACTTAAGTTACAGAGTCCTGTGTGTATTTAAACCTACAGGTCCGGGTAACACCTATATTCTTTCATTTCTAATTCTACACAGCACACTCAAATCAAAGCAGCTTTTCACACTAAGAGCTGTATATTTTCCACATCCATACAACTAACTTTCTATGCAGATTAGCAAGTACCTGGAGTTATGAAAGATCCTATTTGTTCCTCAAAAACAAACAAGAAAAACACTAAACCCCTTCTACCTAACATTTTTGAAGACTTATCTGACTACTAGACACTGTTCCTTATGTAACCACTTACTGGCTTGATAGCTATTTCTAGATTAAGAAAAATAGAAATTTGACCAATAAGAAAAGCTTGGTACAATAGAGAAATGTATTCTTTTCCTAATTAGCTTCCTTGGCAAATCCCCAGTGTCCACATAAGAGGTGATTACTATTCCAGGTTGACTGGCAACTACTGAAGTAACTTACTAGCCACAAGTCACTAGAGGACCACGGCAGATGCTTCTCTGAAGGAGAGCTGATGCTTGGCTAAAACTGAGCTTGCCTGCACTTATCAGTTTTCCTTGGTCAAAGCATGTGGGCAGATGATAACAAGAGAGACAAAAATCCCAGTTTCCTCCCTAGTGCAACACACAAGATGTAACCTTCAAAGCATCTACAAGGTATTAGTAGTACACAGCTTGTTCGCATCTTCGCAGCCATATCTGCATCCCTTATTATCTTTTAGTATGACTGAAGTACACATGATACCAATGCTTTGGAGCATTTGGAGTACTAGGTAACTCTGGTTTTAGTCTGAAAAGCTGACAATAACTTTACCCCCATTTTTTGGGAGCAATCAGCATGACATCACTGATAAGGCACAGATGTCCTCTCTCCTGCAAAAGAACCAGGATCCCAAAAGCAACAGAAGCCAACTTCTGCTTATACCTTTAGTCATATCTGATTAACAGATACCAGTATTGAGGGTTCTTACACTGGAGTGTCAATTTGCTGTGGGTTACACATCCGTGTATAACGCCAGATGATGACTGTCAGTCCAGGGTACATCAGTTCTGCAGAACACACTCACTGTGCAGCTCCATTTACATCAACAAAATTACTTTATAGCAAAATACTACCTACAGGTTCAGAACTGTGTCCCTCCAGTGTTGCCCTTCCACTACTATTAAATACAACCCCATGTGATAAGCAATTGATACAGCTCCCAGCTCTTCTTTCTACAGGACTGATGGGGAGGAACACACCCAACATTCCTTGGCTGTAATATCCAGTAGATGGGGTCTCTCTGAATCACCTGATTTCCCTTCTTCAGCTACCCCTCTCACAACTCAAATTCTAAGAGATGCCAATGAAAGAAATTTTTCCAGGTTAAGAGCTGCACAGTAAGACTTTATGGTGTTCCAATTTAATTAAGCAGAAATTGAGTCCAAGAATTACATTCAAAGTAAATCTAGTGCTCAAAATATTCTCATTTCAAAAACCTTTATTAGGAAAAGAAAAAAACAAGTGAGTATATGTATGCATCCAGTTAAGTCTATAAGGGATAGACATTTGCAGATTATTATGCTAAGTTTCTAGAATTCAGCTGAATCAAGCTAGGGATTAGTCTTTTCTATTCCCAGGAGTTCCCTGAAGAGAACAGAAATGATTGATTTTTCTCCTGAAGCGCATGACTTCGAAAAAATTTTGCTCTCAAAACCAAGGCAAGACAGTTGTTCGATCACATCTCACCTGCTACTGCATGCCAAGGAGCAGAAGCGGGGGGGAAAAGTCACACAGGGACTGCACAAAGGGGTAAGTGTATCAATATTTAAAGGCTCTAAGTTCAACCTGGATCTTGTAAAAACTCATTTTTAGTATTAATGGATTTCAGAGGTGGAATATATTAAATATAATGCTACAGAATTCCAGTGTGAGAATCTTCTAGAGATAGATTTTAAGCTTGGTTGAACAGGAGTCAAAATTTCTGTTACAGGTGTAACACAAAATAAATATTACTATGGAGATCCCACACTGAAAAATTGGCAGTAAGTAGCTAGGGACACCTTAGAATTAAAAGAACTAGCAGCAATTATCAACAAATCACAAGTCTCCTATTCAGACTTAAAAAAATTCAATTCTACATTCAGAAGGGCAACAAGAGTACTTTGGTGAATAACATATTTACTTTAGTTTGAAAACAATACTGATTTAATACAAAGCATTTCTGATGAACCAGTTTAGAAGCTCCACAAGTTTGTGCTCATGTTTTTGAGAACATACGCTATCTGAGCTAAAGCAGCAGTCACCTGCAATATTAGGTATGTCTTCATGGTGTATCATGTAATCATCCATTTTCTTCACTTAAAACACCATTGACTATATACCAGTAAGGGGTTTTTTCTCCTCATCTGACATGCCATGGTCCTCAATTTTTTTTTTTTCATAGAATCATAGAAGGGTTAGAGTTGTAAGAGACCTTAAAGATCATCATCTAGTTCCAATCACCCTGCCACAGGCAGGGACACTCCATAACCCCAGGTTGCTCAAAGCCCCATTCAGCCAGGTCTCGAACACCTCCAGGGATGGGGCATCCACAGTTTTTCTGGGCAACCTCTTCCAGTGTCACACCACCCTAGTAAAAGAATTTCTTCCTAATACCTAATCTAAAACTACCCTTTTAAAGCATAAGGCCATTCCCCCTCGTCCTATCACTCAATACCCTTGTAAGAGGTCCCTCTCTCCAGCCTTCTTGCAGGTCCCCTTTAGATACTGGAAGGTGCTATAAGGTCTCCCCAGAGCCTTCCCTTCTCAAGGCTGAACAGCCCAAACCCTCTCAGCCTGTCTTCCTAGGAGAGGCACTCCAGACCCCAACTTAGTAGCCCTCCTCTGGACTCACTCCAACACGATCACATGTTGGGAGCCCACAGGGCTGAACATAGCACTCCAAGTGGGGTCTCATGAGAGCAGAGTAGGGGGGAAGAATCACCTCCCTTAACCTGCTAGCTGTGATTCTTTTCATGCAGTCCAGGATGCAGCTGGTTTTCTGGGCTGCAGCCACATATTGCTGGGTGATACTGAGCTTTTTGTCTAAACACCCCCAAGTCTTTCTCCTCGGGGCTGCTCTCAACCCATTCTCCTCCCAGCCTCTACTTGTGCTTGGGACTGCATCAACCCAGGTGCAGGACCTTGCACTCAGTCTTACTGAACTTCACCAAGTTCACACAGGCCCACCTCTCAAGCCTGTGTAGGTCCCTCAGGATGGCACCCCCTCTCTCCAGTGCAGCGACTGTACCACACAGCTTGGTGTCATCAAACTTGCCAAGGGTCAAGTTCATGTTCTGAAAGCTTTCTTTATTTATGTTTACTGATAAATTTCCAATACTCTTTACAGCCAGATTCTGTAACCAAACATTTCTACACATTAAATTATTGGAATCATATCAAGGCAACTGGAAAACAACACTTATCAGGTGGTAACTTTGCCACAATAGTATGACCCACTTCCACCAGATTTGCAGGTATCCAGTAACTCATTTGACACTCAGATGCAGGCTTTCCATCTCCCATGCAGTCAAGCACAATGAACTGCCAACTCTAAATGCAACTGTCAGATGCTGCCTATTATAGAACCTTTCATCTGTTCTACAAATACCTCTAATAGAAATCAAAGTGATATCAAATACTGATATTGACATTGAAACACACAGAACAGGAAAAGATCTTCTGGGAAGATTCATGTATAAGTGTATGATTTTTCTAGTTAATTTTTACACATAGATGAGGAGCATGGCTATCATTTATCGGCAATTTTTGATTTAAGGTTTTAAAAGCTACTGTATATAGGCAAGTTCACAATGCTGTTTGCTCAAGCCTCGGTTTGGTTACAGCTGTTCCATACAATACTGAAGATAGCTTATTACATTGAAATTACTTACTTAGCTTATTTTTTGTTTTTTCTTTCTTCAAACATGTTACTTCTATATCCATACCTTAAAGCCTAATTATATTCCTGCTGGCATGCTACATGTTTTTCCAGTTTGCACCAGAAGTAAACCCATGAACCTCATAGGTTTCTTGTTCTGAGACTTCAGTTTGATTTCTACAGCTTGTGACTGAAGACCTCAGGAGTACATTTTGCACAACACACCTGTGCATTAATTGTTTATCTTGCTATCCTAAGGGTAAGCAGGAGAAATTCAGTGAGAAAGCTCAACAACTTTCCATCTCGTTAATAACACCTCCTTCTGTCAAGACTTATACCAGAATTTGCTTACTTACATCTAGTGATTCTTCATTGACCAGGATGAGAGACATACTCTGTGAAATGAGTCTGCAAGAGTACCCTGCAAGAGAGAAAAAAAAAACAACACACAAGGATTTACTTTTTGGAAGACTATCTAAGGTTGAGCTCAACCTTGAGATAAGCATCTATAGATCAGATGACAATTTACTTTTTGAGCAGTTACTCCTATCAGACAGACTGCTGGAAACACTGGTGCATAGGACACACACCAAAATGACAATTTTACTAGCAACACAGGCTGAGTTTTATCTGCACTTTCAAATACATCACTTGAGATATTTTAATTAAAGAAAGCACCATGTGAACTAGATGAATCAAATACAGCCTACAGCCCTACAGCAAAAGTTATTTTATTTTTTCATCTACACTGGAGGCAGAATTGCCTTCCACGCACTACAGGAACAGATCTGAATGCACAGTTGCAACTGTGCCAGATGACCAGAAGTGCACACATGGATTAGTTGGTGCTACCCAGTCCCCTTAGCCCACACTTGGGCTTACATAAGCATTTTTTACTCTGGAGAGTTCAGTGTGGAAGGTTCTGAGCATCATTAAAAACTACAGATCAATGACATACACAGAGGCCCTACTAAGTCCTATAGGAACCAGGTAACTGTAGTAGCTTATTCTTAGTGTAGGACTGGGACACGAAAGAACAAGAAAGAGCAAGTTGCCATAGTCTGGAGCAGCAGTCAGAAGGCAGTTCTGCACAATTGCCAGGACACCAAAACGGAAAATGAAAATTCTCAAGACAAAAAAACAAACAAACAAAAAAAAACCCACAAAACAAAACAAAACAAAAAAAAACACAAAAAAACCAAAACCTCTCTTACATCCATAAAACTATAAGCATTTGCAGAATAAACAGTTTAATTCCCACTCATATTAATGGCAAGAGGCAAATGCAAACTTGCATCAGACAATCTCACTGCTTTATCCTAAAAGTTCACTTGCACATACAAGTTCACTTGGGGTTGACACAGTCATGTATGCTTAATAAAACAGCAGAGAATGAATTTATTTGAAGCACACACCTTTTATTGCTCATCTAAATTACACAGTAAAAAGAAATACAATAGAATTGTTTTGTATTTCTACTGTGTCTTTGTATAGAAATGAATTACAGCAAGTTTAAGAAATTGCTGTCAAATAAAATGAGATCTTAGGAAGTCTCTTTTCTCGTACGGAGATTGGAGGCTATTGCACTGTAAGAGTAATGTCCCAGTGAGGAACCACTGCAAGGTTGACTGATTCAAAAGCATAACAGTACAGTCAATGTAAAAAGATGAAGTGCCTCTTTCCATATCTTACAACAGCAACAGAACAACTGAGGCATGACATTTTCTATGGGATTCTTGGTTCCTTAGGAAGGCCATACTGGTTCATCAATTGCAATGCAAATCATTTCCTCAGGCTACAAAGTTTTTATAATTGGGCTAGTTTTGTAGGCATAATCCTGGGTTAACATGCCTGCATGAGTGACTTCTGTCAAGAAAGCAAATCCCTTGTTTTCCTTTGTGGAAGACATGCTTACATCACACAGCCAGGCACTCTCAGGCAGCAGGTTTGATTACCTGCATAAGCTTAGTTTGTCCTCCATTTTCACAGCTGTGTAGACTATGACTATCAAGTGCAACCTTGCAAATACATTTTCATCTTAGTTGTGTTAACGAGCCAAGGTTTACTTTCTGCTTCAGAGAACAATACAGAATGACATTGAACTCATACACACCTGTTGGGAAAAGGATGAAATATATTCTAATGAAATGCAGCCTATAGCATGAAAGCTTTGCAGACAGCCTCTGATTCTGCCTGGGAACAAGTCTTAGGTGGTAGTACAGATTGAGCAACAAACCTCCAGCAGGTATAGACAAAACACTGACTTTTTTCTCAAGTCAGTTTGCCATTTTAAAAAGTTAGTCCCAGGCTGAAAACTCACTTCCTTATTTTTATTGAGAAGAAAAAGAGAGTAGTACAAATTTAGGCACTTCCTTCCATACCAGGGTTATTCTTTCCCCAGGCAATGGCAACAGTCTTGTACAGTAGTGTGTTATAAACTCAGCATAACTAATTCAAAAAGATTTTCTAGTAGTGTTTGATTAGAATAGCAGCTGCAATAGCAAGCTGTAATTTCTAAACCACTGTTTCACTTTACCTCTTTCAAAATGAGCAAGATGCCATTCTACAAGTCAAGCAGGAAGAAAAAAAAGATACTGTGGAAAACAGAGTTGCTCTGCTGTGCATCTTGGAAGTTATGGATTCAGAAGAACTTACCCTGCAATTGAGGCTATTTTGCATCTTTCTATCACATTAAAACAGGAAGACCAAGATCGGAATAGGAGAATGTAAGCCAAGCCTAACAAGGGTTTATAGAAGACCTATACATTATATACAATTCCAGGCTAAGATGATATTAAAATCTAGCACTAGTATAAAGCAAAGTGGCTGGCAACTGTGAGACTACCAGTAACAATCTTAGACATCTGCAGTAATATTTTAAAGTTTTATAATAGTTTTATAATAGTTATTACTGGCAATACTAATACAGCAAGCAAAAATACATTCTCTAACGTATGTACATAGTTTCCTCAATGCTTCTGAGTAGAGTAAGATCAGCTGCTGGTTCCAAGCCAGATATAAAATGTCAATTCACACCTGCAAGTTGATATCTAGCTCTGTAATTTAAAAGTCTGATTAAGAGTCCACAAAGCAGATGAATCAGGTACTTCTGGGACTTACTTCAAGTGTCCTGGGAGAAAGACTGCTTTAACCAGAGTTCAGGATCATATCCTACAGGCACATTCGTACTGCAGGCATACAGGATCCAGCATCTAAGGCAAGAATGATTATCCTCGGTGTTCAGAGAGGGTACATATGACCTGCTCAAACTTGCATAGGGATATAGGCAAGTGTGCTGGCATTGCTTCAGTTTCCTCAACTGAAAAAAAGCACAGCTCATCAAGAAGTGTTCTCACCTCTGAATTGGAAAGATATGGGTCTGATGGATGTACTGTTAGATGAGTAAGGAATTTGGCTGGACACCTGCATCCAAAGAGTTGCAGTCAATGGTTCAACACCCATGGAGTTACACTCAGTGGTGCAGGGGTCAGTTCTGGGACTGATACCACTCAGTATCTTCTCCAGTGACATGCTATGGGATCAAGTTCACTCTGAGAAAGTCTTCAGACAAGACAGAGCTGAACTGTGCAGTTGATACACTCAAGGGAAGCGATGCCACCAGGAGGCACTTGGATTGGCTTGAGCAGTAGGCCTGTGAAACAGAATGAAGCTCCACAAGTGCAAGGCAAGTGCAAGGTCCTGCACTTTGCTGCAGCAATCCCAAATATCAATCAGGGCAGACTTGGGGATGAATGGATTGAAAGCAGCCCTACTGAGAAGTACCTGGGGATACTGAGTGATGAAAAATTGAACACGAGACCCCACCTGTAGTATTGCATCCAGCCCTGGGGCTCCCAGCACAAGACAGACATGGACCTGTTAGTGTGGGTGCAGAGGAGGGCCACAAAAACAATCAAAAGGCTAAAACACCTCTCCTATGAAAACAGGCTGAGAGTTGGGGTTGTTCAGCCCGGAGAAGAAAAGGCTCTGGGAAGACCTTTCAATACATAAAGGGAGCTTCTACGAAAGACTGAGTATGACTTTTTACCAAGGCTTGTAGTGGCCAGGCAAAAGCCAATCATTTGAAACTGAAAGAGTTTCAGACTGCACATGAGGAAGACATATTTTATGATGGGGTGGTGAGAGTGGAACAGATTGCCCAGACAAGTTGTGGATGCCCCATCCCTGCAAGTGTTTGAGACCAGGCTGGATAGAGCTTTAAGCAACCTGATCTAGTTAAACATGTTCTGACCACAGCAGGAGGATTGGACTAGGTCTTCAAAAGGTCCCTTCCAACCCCAAACCCTTCTATGATTTTAAGGCAGTGCTCATAGCTATGAATGCACACACTAGGTAAGAGCACTCAGCTCAACTGCAGAGACTGATTCATTGTTCAGGGGAGGGATACCGTTGAGAAAATACTGTATTCCCATTCCCAGAAAACAAATCTGTTCCTAAAGAAGTTAATGACTGCAAATAGAGCAGTTCTGATTTTTTGTAAGTCTGCTGAGCACCAGGATGGTAGTAAACAGAAATCTGTCATGGGTGTTTTTGTCTCACTGAAAGACAATGAAGATCCAGAGTCTGCAGACTGATTGAAGGAAAAGGATGAAGCTACAAGAACACTTAACCCTTCTAGGAGTTGTTAGCAGGTCATGCTCAAAGATGTTTCTGAACCTGGAGCTCCCATTTTCTAGAGGTAGAGAGTTCAAATGGTTGATCAGCATTAAAGCTTATAATGAACACCCTCCTCACCTGCAAAATTATTGATTGGCACATGGCTGAGTAGAAAGAATACAGCCACCCCACAATAAGGTCAACTACTACTTTCCAGAGAAGTCAAAAATGCAATCAGGAGACAGACATATGCAAATTCTGAAAAACAAAGAATCAAGAGGAAGCTGGAAGAACAAAAGTACTCCAGCTCCTTGATACACCTGCCAAGAGCTCAAATATACCTCAATACACACACACATCCATACAGCAAGCAAGACTCCATAAGGATAGCCTCCATACACAATGAGAAAGTGAAAATACTTTTTACTCCCCAAATAGCATATTTACACCTGAAAAACAGTGCACACGTGGGTTGTTTTTTAAGTTTGATGTTTATTACTGTCTTTTAATGAGTTACATACAAAAACTGGAAGGTTGCCACATATTTATACTTTCAAGCTAACTTGAACATGAAGTTTATCAGAGTTTTAGTACCAAACTGTACATTAAACAAAGTGATAATTTAGAAGTTTTTCATAGAGATGCTTATTCTCCTCAGATTACTATAATAAAAGAAACAACAAACCAACAGTTTTAAAGAGAAGCTAAAAATTCGTCTCCATCAGAAAAAGCTCATTTACTTGTGTTCGAGCTACCTGCTGTTGGTTAATATAGCAACTTATTTGAGGTACTTATGCCAAAATCTGTAGATACCTTTTTTTCAGTAGTCAAAAGATGATGCTTCCCTCCTCTCATTGACTACTGCTTGTAAAGAAAGCAAAATCTGCATATAGTGATTGAAACCGATAATTAGCTTTTAAATCAATTCTCTACTTAAGCCATCCACCTTATTTCTTCTACAACTGTAACAGTTAATTTCATCTCTTGGTACCAACTTCAACATACAAAGACTTACGAAAGTTGATCTGGTTTTGAGAAGTACACAAAAATTCTAGTCAGTCAAACAGACTACATTCTGAAATTTCACTAAGCCAACCGAAACAGAAAAAAAAAGGAAAAAAAGAAAACAAAACAAACCAGACAAAAAAATTAAAATGCCTGAAATTTTGTTAAAGGTAATTAAAGTTCAGTTACAGAGCATCAATATTAAGAGAATCTTGAAGTCAACATGAGCTTGAGAAAGCAATGTATGCTGTTTATGTTCCCCTTAACCTACACCTAAACAGACTAATTGGCAAATCTGAATGCAACTGTGGAACCTTAGCAGCATAGGTTGCCTCCTGTTACAGGAGACATTTCTTTAGCCTTCTTGAGCTCATCTTGACTTCAGGACTCTCTATTTATATGAATAAGGGGACAACTTAAGCTTTTTACATTTAGAACTGCATGCAGACAGGTCTGGGAGTATTTCAGACTACTCCTGGCAGAACTGTGATGGTCTGTAACTGAACCTACTTATGTGAGATGTCAGATCACCACAGAGTGCTATTTTGTCTTCTGGGCAGACTTACTATGACAGGGAGAAAAGTCATCAAAAAGAATGCAAGAGCATCATGGTATTATATTGCCAAAGATGCTACTTTTGGGAGGTATGGGATGGTATGGTAGGAGATGTGCTTACATCGGGATATATTCCTTTCCCAAGCCTTTACTACTAAGTTAAGACCTGAGTAGCCACTCCCTAGGAGACTACTAGCATTGCATGAAGCATAATGGCAGCATAGGCACAGCTCAGAAATTTTAACCATGGCTGCATTTTGTGATGGTACAAGGTATTGCTACCCAGGTTACCCACCTTCTCAGCATCCCCACTGAGAAAAGGGCTGAAAGATTTGAGTTTTGAGTGTTTACTAGACCTACTTGTGTGGCATATCCAATGCAAGATTAGCATGGTAGCAGAAGTGCTAGAGAGCACAGCACCTAATTGCAATAGGATGGAAATTACAATGTGAACCTCCAGTTCAGTCCACCCTTACAGTAAAATCTTAGTATTGGATAGGTGTTGGGAATATTAACCATTATCAGACACATTTATGACCTAAGAAGAAATGTAATGTTTAAGGGTTGCTTCTAATAATAAACCTAAACTTACAAATGCTTAAAACTCTCCAGTTTTATGCTGCAAAAACAGGTAACCAGATAAACACCTATGTCTTAATTAGGTTACCACTGTACTCCATCAGTACGGAAGCACACTTGTCTAATAAACACTTGAATTTGTACTTTCTTTTCACATCATGGTACACTGGGGGTTTTTTGCATTACAAAGGGCGTAGCCTGTAAGCCAGGATGCATCAGGGTTGAGACAAAGATATCTGGATTATACCTCAATAAAACAACCCATACTGATCTCCATACACACACACACTCAATAGCGAGCATCAGCAGCAAGACACTTCCGCTAACAATCACAACGTACTAACAGATGTACCATCAGGGTCAATTATTCAAGTTTCCACCCTCTTTCACAGACACAGTTTGCAAGAACCTGTAATCTACACACTTTGCATTATCATATTTCTCATCATATCCCAAACTCTATTAAAGCCTACAAAAGGCAGCCAGTAAGAAAAAAGAAACTCTAAACCAGTTTCATACAATGTACAGAATGTCAGAAACATTAGTCTGGTTAGGCTGTTCGGTTTCCATCAGAAAGCAGAGTTACATATATTCACTCAATAAAAGAACTGCACCTAATCAAGAGTAGAAATGTCCCTTTTGCCTTAAAAACCAAAACATTTGAATACAGCCCAACACTCATAGTGAAGATTTCACTAAAAACCCCCTTCTCCAAAGTCATGCCCTGCTACAGAGGAACCATCCTATATGAAGCAGGCCTGATTTTGTTTAAAATCCCACATAGCATGTAACCTGCTATGTATCAGACAAATTCAGAGTAACCAGAAGGATGGATACCTATATTGAGAGCTGTTTCCTGTTTGTCACCCGTCAAAATCCATATCTTAATTTCTGCCTTTATTAGTGTGGCTATTGTTTCTGGAACACCTGCTTGCAGGCGGTCTTCAATGGCTGTAGCTCCAAGAAGCAGCAAATCCTGGAAAAAAAAAAAAAAAGAATTTGAGGGATTGTTTTCTGAAGATAAACCTCTGTGTGGAACACACTCAAAACAGAATTAAGACAGCATGTTGCCTCTCGTTAATACTGCATTTTGACAAGCAATTTATACTACACTAAATTTCTGGTGTGGCTATTCTACTTCCTCTGCACACAATTCACATTTCAAGAGGTACAGAATGGAACAGAGTGTTTCTGATCAGAAAGATGGCAACATTTCAAGAATAATTAATTGAAGTTTTAAAACTCAAAGCTAACCTATGGATGAACGTATATACTGGAGCATTCACTAATCCATAGCAACATGATGAGTGGTCACAGTTTATGTATTTAAGCTCACAAAACAAGTCATTTGGCATCACATCATTTAAACTAATTTCTGTCCATAAAATGTACATACAGACTGGATACAATCACTAAAAGAAAAAATTATTGCAACTATTTATGGATATAATCACTACATTTAAGTAATACAAGTGGTATGAACATTAATCAATCCAAGTATCTCTAGTCAACGTACAGATGTCTGCCAGAAAAAAAACATGCTTCATATAATGAATTTAAAACTACAGAGTTTGCCATATTCTTATGCAATTCTACAGTAATTTCTTGAAGACATATGGCTACCTTAGAGAAAAAAAAGTGAGGCAGAAAAAACAGCTAAGAAATAAATCTTGTCAAATGGTACGGTCTACTCAAATTTTACCTTTAAAAGCATAATAATGATTCCTTAGACATGCAAAGATCTTCAATCTAACATAAATTGATATAAATTGAGTTTAGGTATACTGTATCACTTCAGTAATTATACAGAAAAAGTAACAGCTTCTATTCTTGGTAGAGACTAAAATTATTCAGAAATGAAGACAGATGAAGTGAACAGAAGTAGTTAGGAAAGTTACTGTTGTTCAGCCTGGAGATGATGAGGCTCCAGGGTGACCTTATTGTGGCCTTTCTATATAAAAAGTGTGCTTATATGAAATACGGAGAAAGACAGTTGAAGTGGCAGGATAAAAGGTGATGCTTCTAAACTGAAAAAGATGAGGGTGGTGAGACACTGAATAGGTTGCGAAGAGAAGAGGTGGACGACCCATTCTTGGAAGTGTTCCAGGCCAGGTTGGGTAGAAATTTGAGGAACCTGGTTTACTGAAATGTGTCCCTGTCCATGGCGGAGGGAGGGTTAGAACTAGATGATCTTGAAAGGCCCCTTTGAACCCAAACCCTTCTATGATACCATGAAGAGGGCATTAAAGCAGCTTCTGCTTGTATGAATCTACAGATGCCTAAATTACAGAAGAGCAAATTAGTATTCATAGAGGCGTGTAAGTTGGCATTAGTTGCAGGTCTTGATAAAGCTTCATTTTTGTTATGAGATATTCAGCTGGTAAAGATAGCAGAATCAGCTCATGCAAGTTCTCATGCTTTAGTACCCTATAGCCTCCCAATGAAACATTAAGCCCTACAAATGCTCTCAGTATTGCTACAAACAGAATCCAAGTGTGCAATTGTACATTGTCTTTTTTTCCCCAAAAGAGCTAAACATGACAGCACAGGGATCAGCATGGCTGAGCTACCTGAGCAGGGGAGTTACTATTGCGCTCACCAAAGCCCTCTCAACCAGCGTACAACTGGGGAAGGAAGCCAGTTCAAATTGGTCTCTGCATGTGCACTTGTACTGTGATCCAGCCATTTCAACACTCACACTGACAAAGTAGCTCTCTTGCTCTCAATTTGAGCTCTTAGATGAAAAAAAAAGAAAAACAACAAACATTAGCCTGTTAAAATACATTGTATTTTATGTCACAGCCACAAGCCAGTTTATCTGGAAATACCCTGTTCCTTGGTATGAGCAGCAAGCAAGCAATAACAGGAAAGGCATACAGTGGATAGTTCTTGCCAATATGGTACCAAGTCCAAAGCTCCAATTCTAAAACCCATGTGTGGGTTCCCCTTTTTTCAAGATACTGAATTGTGAAAAAAGGTGGAAGGTAGATGACCAAAAATGATCTAAGGTTTGAGAACACACTTTAAAGTTAAGTTAAAGCCACGTTCATGTTTCACCTCAGTGACAACAGAGGAATACAAGAGCACAGCGCAAGAAGCAGAACACTGAAAGGAGCTACCCAGAATTAAGGATTAGACAGCCACTGTTACTGACACACTGTAACGCAAAAGAAGATTTTTAGGCATTACTCTGAAAACAAAGACTCAATCTTCAGCTCTTGCTGAAAGAGTTCTTGGAGCTTTTCTGTTACCCTGTGACAGTTAACTCCCATCCTAGTCTCAACCTCCTCACGGATGTCCCATCCCTGGAAGTATTCAAGGCCAGTTTGGATTGAACTCTGAGCAACCTGGTCTAGTGAAAGGTGTCCCTGCCCATCACAGGAGGTTGGAACTCAATGACCTTTAAGGTCCCTTCCAAACCAGGCCATTCTATGATTCTGCCCCAATAAAAAAGAGTGCTCCAGAACTTAAGCAGCATTTTTAATATTAATTTTAAAATAAATTGAAGTTCAAAGCACGTTTTAAAGAAACCACTAAATAAAATGAGAGTGAAATACCCGGAGCAAGGGGGAAGAGCGTGAACACCTGTAGGTGAGGAGTGCGACTACCAGCATTTCAGAAAGCAGCAAGACCAACAAGGCTAGGAGAAACACTGGCCCCTAGTGTTGGCACTTTAACATTTAATTCTATGTGGGATCAGCGTTTCAAATTGCTTCTCCAATACCTGCCTTTCCCTTCCAAAATTAAGGGCTCTGCAATTTTCATGGAGTGCAGTTTATCCACCTTTTTTCAGTCCATGCAACTACAGGCTTTGGTAAGGACTTCATTGTGCCTACAATGAAGCCTTCAGAACACCTGAACTGTGACTGCTGTATGAAAAGCAGTGCATTTCTTCATATACTAGTACATGGGAATTTGGTGCAACACAACGATTTTTATACATTAGCTTTATCAAGTTACAAAAATCTTACACAAAAAAGGAAGATAAAAAAATGTGTGTGAAAGGCTTTTATAAGTAGAAATTATTTTTTTTTTATCCATAAGTTTGTCTCAGACTTACAAATTAAAACTTGAGAGATCTATGGACTGAACAGGTTGCCATCTAAGAACATCTTTTCAGTTTCTCATCTACTAAATTAACAGTTTATTGTATAAAGCCCAAATTCCACTGAAAAATACACATCTGAGGAAACCTGCATCTAATCAAAGAAGTATGTTTCACCTTTTCAATGATCTCGTAGCACTCCTCCAGCTTCTGAGTTCTGTCTTTCAGAACTGTACTGGATTCATTGTAGACATTCAACCACTCTCTGTAAGACTTCTCTGATAGATCTGCATAAGCAATGCACAATGTCCTCAGACCTATGAAACATAAGGTAGCCATTACCCACAGTAAAATTACACTGAGTATCAGTAAATCATTAATGCCCTAATGAACACTAAATTCCAACCCTCTCACTGGAACAACAGGAGCTATTAACACAGACTGCTAAACTCTGGATTCCACAAAAATCTCCCTCGACATTCTTAAAGCACTTAAATTTCCACAAATGTAAACCAAAAGTCTGGCTCATTTCATTACTAATGTTGGTGCAAATCAAGAGTCTAATGGGTAAAAACTTAGATGTCTCCAGTCCCTGATTTTCACTATTGCAATCTAGCCATACTTGACCAACAAAAGTGTCATCTTTAACCTTCTAAGTGAGCATGAAAACAAGTCTTGCTTTCATGTATTTTTAAGATCAAATTAAAAAACTGGCTACATACTGTGATTGGAGATGTTACTTCGTCAAACATACCACATCATCCATTTTTTTTTTAGCAAGACCGATTTATCCTTCAGTGTATAAATCTAACTCACATTAATAATGGGAGTTAGACATGTATGATATAGTGAATAGGGTCCGTGAAGTATGAAAATCAATTTATTACACCACTGACAAAAATTTACATAGAGAAGTAATAATTTTTTTTCCTAGCATGAATCAAGCAGAAATGCGCGTGTGCCATTAAATACAAAAATTTCTTTACTGGGAACGTGGGAGTCTGCAAAAAATACATATTTAAAAGCTGAATGATGTTTTCAGATTTAGGAAGAAAACCACTGGTTCATGGTTTTACTACAGCACAAGTATCTTATGCTACTGCAGCAGAGGGAACAAAACCAAGTGCTTCCCTGTGAACAGAGGTGTTACATCAGCCAAAGGCCGTACAGACCATTTCAGGTCATCTTTGATGTCTTGATCTACAAGGCTTCCCAGCATGTTCAGATTATCACTCTGCTTTGTAAAGCCAGGGACTTTGGCATTCAACTTTTACAACTCTAACTCCAGTGCAGTTGAGTTATTCTGGGCAATACAACTTATACCCTTTCATCATGGACACAGAGAACACCATCTTTTCCACTTCCCTACTGAAATCACACAGAAGCAGGGTAAAAACCTCTCTAGTCTTAAAGTCATCTTACAGTTTTTAAATTGCTGATTACACACTTCTTGATTTATCTTCATAATCATCTCATTTGACACTGCTTATCTTAGACAATGTAGAAGATGCTGCAAGTAATTTGATAAAACTGAATTCTCAGTGCATGCTGTTTCTCTTACCTTCTGTTGCGAAGTATTCAAGATGGCACAGTGTTTGCTCCATATACTGGGAATCTTTTGAAAGCCTCTCAAAAATTACATTATCCTATTAAAACCAAATTCATTACAACAGAGTAAGTCTACATATGAAGTTTCCATTTGTGTATTTACAAGCTCAAGTGAAGCAACCTTCATGGACTTGCTAATATCAAAACCAAGACTATATTTAAAAGTAATACATTTGGGTTTTAGAGATTCTGATTTGATTAAGTCATTTAGGTTGTGCCCAGTGGCAGGAATACTGCATCCACTTTAAATAATGAAGACAGAAGTACACTCTGCCCTTCTCCCCTCTTTCCATAAAGAGGTCACCATTATTGGGCAGTACAAAACATTTCTCTCTAAGTTCTAAGACAATCTATTGATTTCAGAGAGTAACTGTCTGGTCTTAAGTTCAGTACATACTGTACTTGCATGCAGAAGAAGAGTTTCCCGCAATCCTTTCTAGAAAAGATTCCCATTGATGTTAAAAATTAAGGGGCAGAAACACTGATCTCATTCTACTGCAAAATTCTCTCAGAAGCAACCTTCCTCCTGCAACAGCTCTCTTCATCACTAAATCAAAGGACAATTGAAAAGGCTAAAAGCTGCAATCAAAATACAGCACCATCGTATCTAGAGTCTCTGGATTTTATTCTGCAACTACCAGAACAAGTTGTTACAAACATGTAAAATACAGAAACCCTACTTTTACTCATACATATGCTCTTAAGCTAAGTAAACAGGCCTACATCTAGCATTGATTAGAGACAGGCATACAAACCAACTTACTATGGAAGCGACAGGACAGAGGATGACTACCAGAATGTGCAAAAGTTAATGCAAAACAGGCAGTTAACTTACATCTCAGATGAGTGGCAGATGCAGCAGACAAACCACCAGATTACACTAATCACTGCAACACTTTTGCTCTGTCAGTACATCTAGGGCTGCTCATATGGAAGACAATATGAAATTTTGTACTACAAACTCTCCTGTTCTCCATCCCCTCCAGTGCCACACTCCAAAAAACAGTGTGAATTCAGGCATAGCATGAACAACGAGCAGTTGCAAGTCTGTGTGGTCCTACTAGACATGCAACTGTAAATTACTGCACAATGGTAGTGGTCTTAACACACTTTCATCACTCCAGCATGAAGCCAGCACATCTTTATCAAATCAGGGGAGGTAAACTGAAGCAATAGAGCAACGCACTCAGATCTATATGTCAGGACAAAATCAAGTAAACTAGATCCTTAGAGGTCAAAAATACTTCTTCCCTGTTGAAAAAAAGCCAGGTCCATAATTTTCCACTGACATTAGAATGACTCTCTGGCTGTGGACAATGATAGTTTTGCAGACTTTGTACTGTGGTAGGTTATTGCTCTTGTCAGTGGAGACAGAAACACAACATGGAGCAAGTCATGATGACAAACAGCAGGTGCAGAGGTGCAAGAGAGTCAGACCAACAGCCAACCACTTGAGAACAGATTTGAATATTATAAATTCAGACAACAGCATTTAGTCCAGCTCCTAAACTCCCACAGCACAGCTGGGTGAAATCTTGACTTTGCTGAAGTAAAGGGTACTGCTCCCATTAGTTTCAGGATTTTAACTGGGCAGTAGAAAGCCTAGCAATCTTCCTGCCTGCAAAAGGAGTCAGAGGAAGAATGGCAGCTCTCTTAAATCACTTGGCCTTAAACAGAAAGCTAACAGGTATTATGTATGAGACATGAAATGCCAACATCAGCCACAGCTGTTGAAACAATAACTGGTACTGTTAATTCTCCATTAGGCAGCATAATTACTTACAGCCCCTTTGCAGTAGAGACGTAGTTGTCCTGCTGGAGTTCGAACAATCACTGACATTCTCTTCCTGTTGCTAGAGAAAAAAAAATATTTGCTTTCATTAGTCAAAGCGATCAAGAGTAATTCCTGTTCTAGCCAGTGAATTTTCTCACATGTGTTCAGTGCATCTGAGATATGATGCGATATAAGAGTAGTAACTTAAGATCACACAACCCTTGACAGCAAGGAGAGAAACACTAAATTGCCCATTTCCAGCTTCAGCCCTATGGCTCCTGTTGCCAAGCACTTAACCAGAACACAGACTTACACTCAAATGTAAGCAAGAAAAAGGCAAGATAGGATAAAATGCTCTGGAAAAAATGGGAGCTACATTTACTTTCAACTTTTTCTTATTCCTCTAGCAAAATTTTCTCTAGAAACAGAATCATTAAGGTTGGATGTATCTATTATATGTGTAACAGACTTTGAAACAACCATCCACTGTCAAGGGCAGTTATTTAACTTCCTAACTCAAAAGAAAGCAGAAACATCATAGAATGGAATTATGGTATAGACCAGTTCTTGGCCTCCCCATAGGTTTTTTATATAGGTCTACTCAGACCTAGATAGCTGCAATTATGTAGAAGGAAGCCAAACATCCTGTGCAAGGTTGCTTATCAAGACAGTCAAGCCTGGCATGTATCTTAAAAATAACATAAAGGTGGACAGTAGCATACTGTACATAGACATTTAACATGGGAGCATAGGCAAGGATAGTTTGTTTTTAAAGATAATTTTTGGCATTTTACTTAGTAATCTCTCCCTTAAAAGATGCACTAAAAAAACACAACACAACTTGTAAGAGGCAGACACAAGCAAATCAACTCTCATCAAGGAAACCCTAGGAACGTGTGGTTTTGTATAAACATTTGCCTTAGCAAAAGGACAATTTTTTGCCAATGTGAACAAACAGATCAGAGCGTAGAGTAATCCTCCTTCTCCTCTTGAAGTTGCTCTGGGAGATCTAGTCTCTTTTCAGAGGTCAAGAGCAACGTGTAAGTACGCAAGCTCTTGGCACGTATCATAAGATAAAACAATCCCTTCTGAGACTTTCTAAAGAGGGGGTAGAAGGGCAGCAATTAGCTGTGGCCAGAATTTCTGCAATGTGCTAATGACACTGGGAAACTTCCATATGCTTCTTGAAATCTCATTGTAGGAACTTCCTTGCTGGTCACGTGGGAAGTTGCTACACGCAGGGGAAAAGTAAGATAGCTTTTTTCTGCTGCAAGCAGGCTACAGTTATTCCTGTTATAGACATCAGGGTACTGTGGTCAGCTTGTCAAAAACCCCCAAAGACTCTTTAGTGTCTTTTTAGATACTTTCCACAAGTAGCTTATGTAGCTACATTATGTAGTAGGAAAGGGCAAAGTAGTCAAGAATAACCTTCAAAGCAAGCCAGCACACAAGAAAAGCTGCCTACCCTAATATCCCCCACCTTTAGTTTTACATAGTCCTTTTGAGCAAGACCAGCCAATTCAAAGACAGCAGAGGACAAGAGTTCAAGGCTTTAATGCACAGTAAGAGTAGAAAAAGAAAAAACAAAAAACACCAAAAAAGACTGCTGACTAGCACCATCCAAACTGACATAACTTTTATCAACTGAAAAACGAAAATCATCTCCAGTGATTTAGGGATCCAATTCATCAAACAAAGCTTCTCGATACGCAAGCAATGCCCATCCTAATGGGCCTGACATGCTTGCAATGTTTATATTTTCATAGCTGGAGTGGTTGTTAAGAAGGGGCACCTCCAGTTGCAGTTTCCATCTACTCAAAACCAAGTAATTTACAGAAGATCTATAAAAGCGTGATCTCAAAGTATGTTCTTCAAGAAGACAAGTAACACATAAGGATATCCACACGTTACAGCAAAACACTTCCACAGCAGCAACTTTTCAATAAATTGAGATGCAGTGGCAAGAAAGAGTTTCGTGCTCACATGCCAACAGCCACCAGCTCTGTACTCGTCCTACATCAGAAATGAGAAGATGAAGGGGCAGAACAAGAACTAATGAAGTTCTGCTTTTCTACTGCATCAGTTGTATCTTTTTATCTCAATAACACATTTACAAGAATGGTATTCTCATGCTGCATTTGGTATATTAGAGGAAAACTCACCTGGAAAACTCCAGCACATTAAGAATTTCAAAGGTTTTCTCCTTCCCCAGCTACAAAACAAAGCACGTACTATTATAAGTACAATCCACATTGTGTTCTTACACGTGCAAACATGCAAGCTGGTCAGGTGTCTCTCACACAACCCAGTAAAAATAACTAAATATGGCAATGGCTCCCTCTGCTGGTTAAAGTACACAGAGCCCAATTTAATGAACTTCCTTCAACATTCAGTACTGTGGCATCCTTCATTTACTATTGCTACACCATTACAACGGAATCAATATCTTACTCCAAAACTATAGGCATGCTCTGAAACATAAGTTGCATATTTAGTTCTTAACAGCCATCAACAGGCTGTGAGTGTTTTTCCAAGTTAAAATAAAGATGCTCTCCAGATTTGGTGTTAAAATAACCTTTGACTGAACTCCCTAAGCATTTCTTTTACTTGAATTTACAAGAACATTAATTACATTTTTCGTGGCAAAAAAAAAAGCTAACTGAGGAGAAATTCCTCTTATCACCAACAGCTCTCTGCTAGGGTTGAGCATGAACCACCTGAAGAAAGAGTAAGATTTCAAAACACCTGCCATACTTGTTATATAACAGACACAAGGAGTAGTAGGAATTACTGGAGCCTCAAAACTTCAGTGGTATTTGTAGCATGTGGTTAAAGAAAGTGCTGCAGTAAAATCTAATTGTAGTATAGACTTATGTCCTGTCCTACAAGGCACATTTCAATTCAGCAATATCCCCAAGACCAAAAGGCATCTCTGACCCACGTTACATGTGCTGCCACTGACATCGGCAATGAGGAGGGACAGGAACCTCTGGGACTGACAGCTTTTATTGTTGGCTGTAGACTGACCATGCTCCTAACTTGGTACTGGGAGTATAAAGCCAGGTCAGGTAGGCCTGGCTCTTCCTGCAAAGAACAGAAGCACCTAGACAGCTCTAGATGACTGCTCATCCTAAATTCTTCCCCTTAAATTAAGAAGTAATTTCTGAGAAATTGTTAAAAGTTTGTGACAAGTCCTAGAAGATGTGTTTTAAGTGCTCATCTTGGCAGTGTACCAAGGAATTTGCAAGTGAACACACCCAAGAGGAAGGACAAAAATACATCCATCATTTGTAAAAAGCACCCTACCAGCTGCATCTGTATAAATCTGGAGCCACTTTAGCTTAGACTGCAACTTGAGTCTGAACGTAGCCCATGAGTTTGAGACTGTCTGTGTCAACTGTAACCCACTAACTACACATCCCTGCATATAGAGCTTGTTAAGTAGATACATCCTCTTAAGAAGATGCGGAACATCTTACTCAGAAGAAAAAAAATTCCTTTTAATACAAGAAATGAAACACTTAGAAGAATTGTAACCACTAAACACAATAGTCAGCCAGAGACATGAATTTGCTTCTGAGTGTGAGTGTTCCCATCTGTGCTTCCCAGACAAGGAAAATATTTTTCAGGCACAACTGCTGTTATTTCCCATGTAAGCTTGCAACTTCCTATTGCCCATGCCACACAGAAGGGTAAAGGACTTTGCATCTTCAGATAGATTAAAACCATTTTGCCTCGTGTGCAAAAGCCTTTTTTGCATGTAAGCACCACAAGGACCCTGGAAAGGGGCCCTCACAGGAGCCACACAGGACACGTTTATGCTCTGCATGAGCTTGGCAGCCTGTGCCACGCGCATCTACCACTTACCGCATCAATGATAACTGAATGCGGAGTCCGTCCTGTGAAGACATAACCAAGTTTTTTTGCTCCTTTCACTAATGCCCCTTCATCTGCCAAAACAAACAAACAAAAAGCTTAAATTTCATCTGGTATGTAAGAGAGGCCTCCAAAACCCATATTAAAATATGTCAGACTGCCAAAACAGAAGTCCCCTTTCCTATATACTGTCCTGTGTACAGTTGCTAGAGTAGCTCTGCACACCCTTACACAAAAAGGTTCAATGCTTAGTTCTACAAAGGCCATGTAATATCAACTACACGAACTTTGTACTCAATCCATATAAAATATCCTGTAACTACTGAAGCATTAAACTCTGTTCTTTGGAGAAGTCATACTTTTCTACAGGAAAAAGGGAAAATACCTGTTCTGAAAGAAGATCAAAGCCTATGTTGTTACTCCAAATTCCTACAATATGCCTTTAATCCATTTTCTGCTGTAAAGGCACTAAGTTCACATGCTATAGAAATACAGCATTGCCTTCTGGAGACTAAAATGAGCAGTGTCATTAGGAGCTCAAATAACAGAGCTGAAACCAGAGCCAACACTTGTACCTCCAGTAGGTACCTAAAGAGCCTCATTAAGAAGCAAGTGCCATTAAGCACAAGCACCACACATGTGAATTTAGTGCCCAGTTTAAGCAACCCTAATGTCTCTACAGTACTGTTAGTCTCCTCATGGTTCATCACACTGTCCAGAGCTTCCTTACATGGGCTCTTCACCCTACTTTTCAGACACACTATTAAGACGTAAATGAGAAATGATACTGCTTCCTCACTCAAAACACCACTACAGCAATTCCAAAAATATCTTCACTAACAGAGATAAAACTGATGGAGAGCAGGGTCATGCTGTTCTGCATTCTGGCCATGCCTATACTCTTCAATACCTCTGTGTTAACTTAAAGGAGAAAAAAATGTGTCAAGGGCAGGCCTGAATGTGGCCAGGACTTTGCTATTGGTTATATCATGTCATGTATCAGCACTTGGTTGCTCCCTATTTTGCTTTACGCAGATACTACTGGATCAAGAAAGACAGTCTGTACTTATGCCAAATAAAGCAAGTAGTTGTTAATGTAGAAACAAATAATTACTTCCATGAATCAGCTCTATAGACTCCAAGTTTTACTTTTGCTTTTCATCACTGCAGAAAGGCCAGAGTAGAAGGTCTCATGAGAGCAGAAGGCATCATGAGCCCAGCCTATCTCTAAAGAAACATCATGAACACTGTAGTTTCATAGGAGACATTCAAAAGCAGCATGTACTGATGACAGGAGATGCCAGACCTACTGCTACCATCATGGGGGACATCATGCTTTCAAAATCAATGATCTTCACAGAAATTTATGGACCTCCCTTCCATCTACCTTCTACTCCTTCAACTCCTTCCCTCCCAAAAAAGAAAGCAACAATTAACCTGGAGAGGAGGCCTGGTAGATGATTGTATTTCCTTGTCTCTCAGGAACAACAGTATGACACACGGCTAGCAGCGTGAGGAACTCCTGTATGTGTACAGCTGTGGGCTAGACAAGACACCAGAAGAGTGAGGTTTAGCATTACACACAGACTGAAGCATCTATTCACTAAACTGAGAAGACCACAGAGGTATCACAGACCAAAAAAAAAAAAAAAACAAAACATTCTGTTCTCTACTTACAGCAGATCAAGACAGCAGAGTTTAGGGTCAGCATTGATGAATTAAGAGTGTTAACGATAAAGACCTCACTTAAGCTGAAGAGAGGTGTGAAGCCAGAATATTCCCCCACCTCCCCAAATATAAAAGCATTAGTTCTGTAGCACCCCAAGCTTCATATAGGTGAAGACATCTGCCACAAGCTGATGACAATCGAGCAACAGGAAATATTACTACAGCAGCTTCTAAAAGAGTGACAGTAACCACATCAGAATTAAACTTGATGCAATTGCTCCATTAGCAATGAACATCCAGAGCTGACAGCAGCTGAATAGCCAGTAGAAGGCAACATCATGTGCCCTTCCACAGAAATACAGCATCCAGCCAAGCATAAAATTAATCAATGGTCCCTACACATTTAGCATCATGAGAACATAGAATATAAAACACTGTTCACAGCCAGCCCCAAGTGCTTAGATAGACACCAGGTCTGCAACTCAGCAAAGATGCTACAGCACTTCAACCACAGGCCTGTGATAGCCAACTCTGGCAACTGCAGTTATAGCGATTTGAAATTGAGTCCCCCACCCCTCTCTTCTCTCTTCCCTCTTCTCCATTCCTGCCTCTGGCACAGTATTTATAGTCTCAGCAGTCAGAAATGGTACTCAGCTGCCCAGCTCAAAACCAGACACAACTAATTCATTTCAGCTGAAGTGAACACATGGTTCCCCTTCCCCAACTCTGCTGTAACCATAACATCCACACTTGGTAGCATCAGTGTCTTCTGTCACAGCAGCCATTTGCTCAGTGACTGAGTCAGACACGAACTTAGTAGTTTTACCTTTGCAGAAAGCCTTACTTGACTTTGGAAGCTAGATGATATTTTTATGTGCAAAAATTCTGTGAGAGTTTATAAAGTTTTTATTGGCAATATCAAGGTTTAATGAGTAGGAAGTAAATTACTATAAAAGCCACAAAACCATGTCAGCTGGCATACACTATGTCAACATGTGTAAAAAAGTAAGAGTATTAGAAAAGAGTGGAATAAGAAAACTGAATATCGTAGACCTATACCCTTGTTTTACTTCATCTACTTTGTCATGAAGATTTTCAAAGTAACTGTTTCACACAGGACCTTTATCTTTGCATATTGAAACCTCCAAATTGTACGGTAACATGCCACTAAAATAACAGCAGTTGTAACTTGTGACATGCTGAGGGTGCAGAGGCTATGTTCAAGAAAATGAACATGTGGAATATAATCAGAGAGTAATGTGTAAAATGTTAAGTCCACAGCAAATTACAATCAGGAGGTTACTGCTTCTATTTGCTTTCGCTGGAAATAATGGCAAGTTTTATCTCCATCTCAAAATTCAGAGCCTGCCAAATTCTCATTTCAGGATCTATTGCTACAGACCTTCAATGCGCTTCTTACACTTTAATCACCCAGCCCCTTAACGTGCTTTCACAGTATGCATTCTATCAGCTGGAAACAACTCGTCTCCAGTAATGACATGGATTTTAATTCTTCCTATGTACATATTTATGTTTTCAAGTTAGCAACATAATTTGCTGCTGCGTTGATACTTTCACAGCTCACAATGTATTACAGGGCAACCTTCCAATTCTATTGCAACAGATCACCAGAGTCCCAGCTTATCACAAAAGCTCCTCCACACAGCTGTCACTTGTTTCCTTTCTATATTGTTCCAATACTAACAATATTTGTTGCACAGGCATGAATCAGGGTAGAGCGTTCAAATTTTCAGATCTGTGAACAGAAGATTCATTAATGGGTTCTGTGGTAACATATCCCTTCCAACATACCAAGTTTAACCCCAGCACAGGACAGAAGTCCCACAGATTAACTGATTCTACCTTATTATTTATATTCCTCTATTAACTCTCTGATATTTTAGTAGTCAAATTCTTACTGATGGTCTCGGAGACATTTCTTGCCTGCTCATTTGTTAAGGTCAACCTTATTTCTTTCCACCCGATTTTTTCCACCTCTGTTTATCTGTAGCTGGAACAAAGTTGGCATATTTTAGTCTCTTTTTCATCAGACAATCGGTAGTTCTCATTTTAAACGCCTTTTCCCCCTCATTTTTCTCCTTATGTGGCAACAGCTCTGGGTAAAAGCCATTGCTTCTTTCTCTGGTTTTGGTGTTGTTTTTTTTTCCAAAGGTCCATGAAAAAATTCGTGTACAAGCACCTATACCAGGGATACACCCCAGTGGCTAAATTATTTTGCTTACTGCCCCTACAAGTTAAGAACCACATACATATTGAAACAATCCCCTATTTCTGAAAGCAGTTTCTGGATTGTTATCTATAAAGCATTATCCTCCATGACTTTGTAAACACTGATCTTGGTGCTTTTCTTCAGGTGTTTATTACGCCATACTCTTTTGTGGAGTTTTCCAAAAGCACTATATGCCTTTGCTAACCTGTTGTCTATCTCTCCGTCGATCTTACCATCTGAGGAGATGAGGCTACCGAGGTAATTAAACTGCTGGACTGATTTGAGCTCTGATTTGCCAATGGTGATGTGGGGATGATGGGGGACTTCCTGAGGTGCAGGTTGATGGAGGACCTCTGTCTTCTTTAAGCTGACTTCCAGCCCAAAGAGCTCAGCAGCATCTGCAAAGCAGGATGTTAAATGCTGCAGGGCAGCTTCTGTGTGGGCAACAAGGGCGGCGTCATCAGCATAAAGTAGCTCCCGGACAAGTCGACTCTCTTATATGGCTCCGAATCATGGGTCATCTACCGCCACCACCTGCGTCTCTTAGAACGCTTCCATCAACGCTGCCTCCGCACAATCCTAAACATCCACTGGTCAGACTATGTGACCAATACATCTGTTCTAGAGCAAGCAGCTATCACAAGTATCGAGGCCATGCTGATGAGAACACAGCTGCGATGGGCAGGGCACGTCTCCAGGATGAAGGACCACCGCCTCCCTAAGATCTTGCTTTACGGTGAACTTGCCACTGGCTGCCGCATGAGAGGAGCCCCGAAGAAAAGATACAAGGACTCCCTGAAACAACATCTCAGCCTCGGCCATATTGATCTTCATCACTGGTCTACTCTGGCCTCAAATCGGGAGGCCTGGAGACACACCATCTGTAACGCTGCTGTCTCCTTTGAGAACACACGCAGGATCACTCTTGAGGAAAAAAGGCAACGCAGAAAGAACCGTATATTGCAGAATACACCATCTAAGGAATCTTTCTGCTGTGCCTTTTGCAATCGGATATGTCTGTCACGTATTGGCCTCATAAGCCACCAGCGTGCCTGTAGCAAATGCGGATAGAGCCTTCCCAGATCTTCGTTCGCGAAGCCCAGCCATGATCCTCCATGAAAGCAAAGTTTAGCTATCTAGAAGGCACAGCAATATCCATTATCAAGCAAGGCACAGACCACTGGTCATGAAGCTTCATCACAACTTTTTATCCCTTCCTTGCTCCCTTATTCAGAGGAACAAAACACTGAGCCAAACCTCCATTTTTCAGGGAGCAAACTGTACTCTGCAGAGCTACATAACTGCACATATATCACAGAAGTCCTTATCTTGACCTTGTCACTCTGAAGACAAACTACTTTTCTCTAGCCAGCTGATAAAATTACAAGGAAGTTGCATGTGAAGTTAAAGATTTTTCACCTCTCTTTTTACTTGTAGCAGTAGGAGATCAGTGCCTCCGTTCATAATATCTCCAGATGAGCAGGACTGACATTTTTTTGAGAAAATGGTCTAGAAATGGCCAATGGGATATTAAAGCACAGTCTAACAACTTGAGCTTACTCCTTCAAAGAAGGACATGGCAAATTCTGCCAAGGACAACTACAAAAATACTTATGTACTTGATTACCAAGGAGAATTATGACTCACCATCTTAAAAAGATGTTAACTTCCTACTGTTTAGTTCACTAAAATATCTGGAGAGCAGTGTGAGGATCCAGCCGTGTTGGGCACATGGAACAAAGAAGCCGGTAAAACCAAAGAGGACCAGGATATTTCAGGCACAGACTCAAAGAGAACATTAACCAGTGTTTGAATATCAAGAGAATTAAATGCAAGTTCATCTTGTCCAAAACCATTGAAATATGACCTATAATTAAAGATACTGTCTTATACTTGAACAACAGTAGCAAAGTCCCACACATAGTAAGAACAAAAGCAGACAAATGAAAAATATTTCTCACTAAGCTCTAATAATTTAGTTGTGAGCTATAAAATGACAAGTTTGCACAGTTTTCCAGCAACAGTTACTTTCCAAACTAAAGCCTCCCAGATCTCACTACCTAAACATACTTTTGGCACTACTGTATTCCAAATTCCAGTTTTTCATCCCAGTTAGTAGTGATATACTTTTCTGGTTCTGCTTTCCTAAGGAATTAAGAATCAGCTGATGATAGCTGCCATTTCAGAAAAGCCTGATCAGATAACAGCCTCAGTTTCCACACACTTCCAAAAACAAGTAGACATATTAGCAAGGTCTAAACAAACACTTTCAGTGTAGTAAAGGCTACACATGAACACAACAGTTGTCTGTTCTGCCAAGCCAGCTGCTAAACTACTCATAACACATACTCACTGAATCAATTTATGCATTTGCAGCTACACTTTCCTGCTTCTTGGCCAAGAGAGAATTTGGGGGCCATTGAACAAAGCTCTTGTGCAAATTGGAATTCATAGATGAAGTTCAGAGAGAATTTGGGGAGATGCAGGAGTCCAAGATGAGATCCAAGTCTATAGTTCCTTCACTTCTTGACCTCCTTCCCTGCTCTCCTATCATCAGGTAAAACATAACCCCACATCAAACAGGTTTGCATCTCCATAGCACATATGCAACTAGCAAGCACCAAGATAAAGACTACCCTAGTGTATTCACCAAACATTCATTTTCATCTTAGAAAACAACTGATCTTTTCTTACTAAACTAAGAGTTTATGCCATTTTCTCTATACAGAGAAGACAGCATCATTCAGAGTTCATCCAAAAGAACCAGTTCCAAAGAAAAAGCACAGGCAGACAAACCTAGGTACTTTCTTTCATGTTAAAATCCCAGAGCAGGCAAGAGAAACTTCCATATGTTTTCAAGACAAGTTATTTTTCCTTGGAACATTTCCTATGGGGCAATAATTCTTGAACTGCTATTCAAGAGTGAACTTGGCTATCAGTCAGTCCTTACACACCAGTGGCCCAGAAGAGCTATGAAATCTAGAGGTGACACAGGATGCTAAAAATCTTCCTAGCAGATGGAAGACAGTCTCGGAAGTATAAGTACATAATTTTTTATTTTCAACCTGGAAAGAAAATTACTTGGCACTGAGACAGCTCTAAACTAACACTTGTGACTGGACTGAAAAAAACCCTAAAATCTTCAAGACCAGAGCAATGAGCACTTAAGAGTTTGTAGATATCACACCTAAAGCTTCAGCTGCAAAAGGTCAAATGTTTAAAGGGTATTAATTGCCCAACTAAGTACAGTACCACCTAGCCCCACTAGGCAGCTTATGCTAGAACACTTTAGTTTTATCACCTCAGTTCACTAAATGAGGAGAAATTGTCAGACATCTGCAAATGGCATCTGCAGCTACCTATTAGCTATGAAAAATAAGACACTATGCAGTTTGACAGAAAGAAGCAGCTTATGCACATTAGCAGCTCACCAAATGCAAAAAAGCTACAAAGACCCTTCCCTCTACCACTATCATGGAATTCAGCCCTAATCTCACTGACACAGTCTGACAAATACACCTGAATGTGCCAAGCAAACTGTCAGATGTAGCCCTTGCATTCCCACATCTTGTGCTAAATCACCATCCATTCCTCCAGTACAGTCAGGCTCTGAAGGACATCTTTGGCCTACACAAGGCACATTTTCAGTCTTACTAGCCAGAAGTTTCCCCAGTGTCTGTGTGCTCAGCCCAACAGTCAGCTGTGCAATGACAACAGTATTTATCCATTTAAGTTCCCACCCAAAAGGAAGCTTGATACATAAGGCTCAGCATGTAAAGAACAAAGACTTCTGAGCTGTCTAGACTAAGTGACACCTAAGGAAGCTACCAAAATTCTTTATCTGCCTGTTACAACAGCAAATATTTCTTCTATCTCCCAAAGTACAAACTCTACACAGAGAAGATCAGACAATTAAATAGCCCAAAAATAAGGGGTCATCTCTAGGCTAGATGAGAAATTTCATCTCACAACTCATTTGATCTATGTCCCTTCTGCTGAGTCTATTAAAATATACCAGAGCACTTATCTATACAGCAGTCAGCAAGAGCGCAAGCAAGCTTTATCTGCAGCCTACTCCTAAGCCTGAACGAATACCCGGAGTCAGCAACTGCCACAAGCCATAACTGTAGCCATAAATGAACAAACAGGACAAAAAGGAACAGGATGATATCCAAGTCTTAGCTGCAAGTGATGTCCAGTGGAAAACCCTTCCAGTGAACATGATTACAAAAGCCACATAGGAAACCAGTGCACTGTACTGGGAGGGTCACCTTGACGTACATTAGAGCACAGGAGCCATCTTTAGCTCCATCACCATGAGGAATACGTAGTGCCACATCAAGTAACTAAGAATTCATTTAGGTATTTACACCATGCTGCATTTCAAGTTCTTAAGTACTGTACAGCAGAAAACAAAGCTTTCCTGCAGACAAACAGTATGTTGTAACTACATTTGAGATGCTCATAACTAAAGTTAACTAGCCCAGTCACAGAAGTTATATTGTCAGCTGGTGTAGTTTGTGCTTGCCAGTGCTCAGATCCCATACTGAGAGACAGCCTGCAGAGAACAAGGGTCATGCTTTCTGCAAGTGTTTGAATTGTCTGGTGTCCAGTCAGACACCTCATAGCCACATGACTTCTGAATAAACAATGAACGGACACCCTAAAGACTAGAACCCTTTAGGACTCAACCACTTAGGTTAAAATTACTAATCACTAAGCCTCAAGCTAAGCTTAGATTTGCAATTAAGTCTCATCCCTTACATCCTTTACATAACTGAAATTCCAAACGTTTGCAATACTTAAAGCAAGGCTCATACCAGAACCACCTTCTGGTGGTTACTGTTAAAAACAATATTTTAACAGGACAGATGTTTGAACAGTCAGTAGTTTTTCTTTTAAACAATTATAATTTCTATCATTACTTGCTACAAAAACATTATCTTCCATATATGACAGCATATATGAAGCTGTTCTAGTGGTAGCTGGTATCCATATCGATGTCACTGCTTCTTTAATTCAATAGTAAGACAAGTGGGTAGAAAGACGTTGGAGGGAGCTATTTTGATTCCTTTTTATCCCCTCTGTGCTTGCATGACACACTCATGGAGCAGACTTCATCACACAAATAGATTTGTTCCGCATTCAATTCCAGACAGGCCTAGAATAGGGCATTTAAGAGGCACGATATTCAAAGAGTAGACTTACATGATCATTTTCAATGTTTTGCAGCAGCCTTGGGTCATCAAATTCACATGATTCACTCGTGGAAGGAGGTAGCTGGCTGCAGAGCAAAACAAGTATATTCAAACAAGTGGCAACATTGCCAATCTTAATACTTCAACTATTTTCTCAGGAAGCAAGTTTAAAAAACAAAATAAGACTCCAGTGCCCTTGAAAGTATTGTGAAAAGATCATGTAAGTAATGCAGAAAGTGCTAAAAATGAGCAGCAGCAAGAAACGGTTATCGTTGACAGTGTATTTGAGAAGATTCAAGTGTCAATGCACCTCCTGGGACAGATGTTGCAAAAACAGTTTTAAGCACACTTGAAATAAATGGATTTCAAGGCAATTTGCTTATAAAACAGATCAAAAGTTCAATATCCCTAAGCTCCCTCCCTAGTCAGAGTTCTGTTTCACAAGTTGACCCTGGAGGATTTTAAGTCTGAGTAGTCCATATAAGTACCTGAAAGAACCTTCCACAGAACTGACTAGAAAAAAAAATGTACAGGGAAAGAAAAGAAACAGCAATATATTCGAAGAAAAGAGGCACCAATAGAAACTACATCTCAGCAGATGTAGCAACCTATCATGGTATCACCTTCCTAAAAGATGATAACAAAAACGATTTGTGTCAGTGGAGAAGCCCAGTTTAGCTCATAAGCAAGTGCTCTTCTAACAGCATTCAGTGTTTACCTGTTTTCTTGGGTGGAAACTCACTTCTTGCCTATATTTGCCATTCAACTCCATGTCAGTCCTCCCTGGCTCTTCCCCCTTTTCCTGATAATCAAAATGTGCTACACTGACACCTCTGTTACAACCCCAGGTTTTCACTCGTTCCTATAGAATGGGACAGATCCATTACCTCTATTCATTAAAGTCCTGAATAAAAAGGAGTAGGATTCTTTTGACATGATACACCTATATATTAAGCTCTCTCCAAGTTTAATTACTAAAACATAGCATTTTAACAAAGAAGTCCCTTTTCTTCCCCTTGTCATGTCTGAACTTAGTGATTAAAAAGAGTAACATCTGGTCTCTAGCTAGGGGGTAAGGTTAGTGCAAAGCAGTTTACTTTTAACTTGACTGTCTACATTTATAAATAAGCACTGCATTAGCATCAAAGCCACCCCAGCCGCTGCCTATTCCTCACCCCCTCCACACACCATCTCTTTATGCAGAGAAGATCCATCACCACCCACCAGCTCTGCATTAGGCTCCCACTGAAAGACCATTTTACTCAAACACATTGCTCCCTTGAGATTCTTCCAGAAAAGACTTTATATAGTCTTCCAAGACTTTCTTGGAAAGTCTTTATATAGATTGTACCCACTTTGCTATACAGAGCACAAACATCCTGGAATATATTTACCTGAAGTCTTCTGAGGAGCGTTCTCTTTCCAGCTCAGGAAAGTGACTGAGGGGTAGAAAAAGAAAAGAACATTTATTCCACTTTGGTAACCAAAAAAAAAAAAAAAAAAAAAAAAAATCAATGAGTCATTACACAAAAACATATGCTGGAACCATAGGTTCAGCTGTTCATACATCTGAATCAAGTTTTCTGCCTCTTGAGATATCTAATTTAGTTAGCATGAATTTCAAAGGTTAACTTGCACAGAAAACTTAAGACTACCCATTTAAAACTAAGCAAATACAAAGATTTAGTATTCAAGACTCAAAAGGCCAAGTGCTAAGGAGTACTGGCATGACTCAAAGGGATCCTTTAGACAGAAGTAGAACAAAACCGTGAAGAAGGTATACCTATACAAGGAATATTAAACTCTACAATTAGAGCTACATGATTCTAACAAAATCCTGATTCATCCGAACAAGTCACAGAAACATGACTAATAATTGCTACCCTTGGGCTGCAACTTCTTCCCTCTTGAAAGGTCAGAGGTTATTTAGCACTTCTGCTTTTGTTTAAATTATGATCAGGTAAGTTAGGAAGTAAGTTGCCTTTACTTCAAGTAAAGTACTCCACAGGTTTGACTTTCATAATTTGTGCTGCAGGACATGAAAATGAAAACTATTAATTAAGACCACAAAATACACTAAAACACAAACTGAAGAACAGAATGTTCTAATCCTTTTCCAGTATAAAATTCTGTACCAGTAGTAAGCACACATTAAGCTAGAGAGTTTCTAAAAGTGTCATACCTACCCGTATGTCACTCCAGCAATACTACATTTCTTAAAGTTCATGATATTGCATGTTAGAGTGCCTGTTTTATCAGAAAACAGGTATTTCACCTGGAAGAAAAAAAAAAGTCTAGTTTTCAACTTGTAAAGTTACAAAACTTAAAGGGGAGAACAGATTAAGAAATATATTACTCAATGTCACAATATTGCCCAATGTAGGCTTATTACAGGTTGGTTTGTCTACCAGGTCTACAGAAAAATAATCAGACAAGTTGTTTAATGGCATTAATTCTTCTTGATTTCTAAATGTAGAGAATCTCAAATAGTAGGTATCGATTGACAAGGCTCCAGAGTGGTCAATACAAATGTTTTGTGCCAGTTGACATTCAACAAATCTGTCAGCTGTACTGAAGTCAAAGAGCAAGACTGGAAATTAAAACAAAGACTATTAAGACTGTTGAAAGGTCAATACAAAGAAATGCCATGTTCCAAAGATCACTGAGAACGCGTTTGGGGTGCTTTTACCCCCATAAGCAGTAAAGTGCAAGAAATATGCTAGGGTAAGTTCAACTGGTAACCTGTAGTCAAACAAAAGCTGCTTTTTCTGGTATCCAGTCATAAACAGTCCTCAAGTGCAAGACACAAAGCCACAGTCAGCACTGCCCAAACTAATAACCCCTTAATGGAACTAGTGACTTTCAGGTAGAACTTGGAGGCCACCCCAACACAGCAACATGACATCTTGGAGCATGAGCAGATTCAAGGTTCCCACCTGCAGTGGGCTACAATAGACCAAAAATAATTGCAAGTTAAATACCACCATCGTATCTCTGTACCACGTATGATTTTCAACCAGCAACACTGATGCTAGCATAGGAGTTACACAATTTAAAGACCAAAATATTTTGCCTGGAGCCAGAACAAGCTTTTCCTCAATAAATGCAATTCAGTTCAAGACAGTGCACTACACTACTAATTAGGTGATCCTTTAGCTGTGCTCCACACTGCTGCTTGAATACAGCATTGGAAATGGAGTTTATGTGAGTTAGAAGTTAAAGTGGGTACCCAAACATCTGAGGAACTTCAAGCCACTAGTAATTCTACACAAAACAAAAATTTTAAAGGCATCTGTGAACAGGTAATTCAATTAATGAATCAAAAAACTCAGTCTAGTTACACAGAATCACTAGTAAGTAATTTCTGAAAATAACATATGGGCCAGGAATATACATTATGCCACATATCTTCACTTCAGACAAAAATAGTGCCATAATTTAGAGGTTAAGTTCACATCAAAGTAATCTGAATACAAATCAAATTTTAGCATTCCAAAGAAAAAGACCAATCAGCTTAAACAGGAAGAACATTGACTCCCACTCTGCTGAGCAGCACAAAAAAATTATGTACATTAAATGTATAAACATTGTCTTCAATACCAAATCACACAATTACTAAGTTCATGAGGTTCAGTTAAAGATCTATGACTGATGATCAAGGAAAAAAGCTAGGATTTCTCAATGGTACTACAAAATTCCAATAGCAACATCGTATTTTCCAGTACACTTGTTTTGGGAAGCCCTTCTATTTTGAAGAAATGTCATTTGCAGAATAAACAAATCTACAACAACTACAAGTTGTTGAAAAACTAGATTCTTGAAGGAGCACAGTATAAATTATGAATAGAATTGTATTGTTTTAACCTCCATCTCCTGTGAAGCAAACAGAAACATCAAGAACTAAGAACACAGGCTGAGGTTGTTGGCCTCCTCTTAAGCCAAGCTTAGTCCTATACATTCTGTTCTGGTATACACAGTCACAAATGCAGATCATCTCCCCAACACCCTCGAGGAAAAAAAAGTCAGCTTAGAGTGAACAGTTTCAGTTCCCAAGCATAAAACTGCCTGTGTTAAATTTAATCCTACAATATCTCATCATTTTACTTGTAAGACTCAGACTAATGACAAACATGTCCCATTAACCTGAGCCACGGGGCAACAGAGTAAAGCAGACTTGTACAGCTTGCTCTCATACCTTCCATCTTGCCAGAATAAATCACAAACATGACACTGAAGAAAATATTGTCTTACCTGCCCAAGTTCCTCATTAAGGTTTGAGGTTCTGGCCATTGCAGGTGTATCTGTCTCAGGGTAATACATATCTATGTCCTGAAATGAGAGCAAAATTAGACCTATATTATTAAAATTAAACACTGAAATACTCATTATTCTTTTAGTCAGTTCCAATTTGTTTTAACTGTCTTAATGTCATTAGTGGAGGTTCTGAAGGCTTGACACAAACATCATCCCAGGATGAATATGGGTGCCTCCTTTCCAAAGCATGCCTCCATACTACATGTACATGAGAAAAGCCAGATTTAACTAAAGATAGTTAACAAACTAGAGATGCAATGGAAAAAAAAAAACCACAGTACAGTAGGAAGTTTTAACAGGCATTAGCCATGCTAACCAAGTCTTCAATTACAACAATTAGTTGCTTTAGCCACACTGATGCCTGAAAAGACAATCTGAATGGCTTCATGAAATTAATTCCTTCTGTTACTACATTTTATTGGGAGTAAAAAAACCCAGCTGCTACACAAACCAAAGCAACTTCTCAGAAAAGCGTCTCTCCTACATCATAAGCAGCTCAGGGAACAGACATATGAGATCTCATTTACTTGTATTCTTAGGAACCTACTATATTACTGAAAGTTTAAGGATTAACGCATACCAGCACAAGGTATTCCTCTTGGTTTTGTTCAGCTTAAGAGACATCACTACAGTATTTTTGGTCCACAAATAGAGAAAGACATTTCTGAAGTCAAAGCTTGCCTGAACAGAGCAAGATCACTGTTTGGTTGCATAAGGCACCACCAACTTCTCTCCCTACAAAAATACGATCCATACCACAGAATTTAAAAAAACCAAACCACAACAACCACCAAAAAAACCAAAAAGCAATACCACACCTTCAAACAAGTCTAGTCTTTCCCTCTGCTGTGGCTGAGAGGAGATATAAGGTACTGAAGAGTTTTCAAAAGATAACTACTGAACATGAGTCAGCACAGAGACCTCCTTCAACAAGACCTGACACTTCTTTCTCATCCTAAAGGCCTACAAGTCATCGTTTGCACAGGGGATATTCTTATGACTAAATCTTTTAATTCCTGTGAAACACAGAACTGATACAGAATAAATCCTTTGAGCTTTCCCCTGCCTTTCCCAGAAGTTGCATCAGAAAATTAATTAAAAGTCTCAAAGATGTTGTGTTATTTTTTTTTTAAATGTCAACATCCAGAACTGAGATACATTCATTCTTGTTACTTACCCAATTTATAAAAAGAGCCTGAGTAAACTTGACAACTTCCAATGTCACCAGAAGGCTGATTGGAATAAGGTTGTTGTACAAGATTATAAATGTCAGCAGGTTGTATCCAAAGTTGACAGACAGCATTTCTGTGGACCGAAAGACAAAGGATATGAGCAGACACAAGTCTGAGTGGTCTAGGGACAGTATAGGAGCAATCATCTTTATGCAGTTGGCCTAGTCAGATTTAGCAGTGCTAAAATAATCAGCAAGTGTGTTGACATCTACTATAAGGGCCTTTTTAATATTGATTTTAATAGTATATATATAAAACACCCACAGAACACATGCCTGAATACACAGCATATTATGCCAGGTGAAGAAGGGCAAGATTTGTGAGTCTATATATTAAAGAACAGAACGCTTTCTGAAAAACTTTTGCTAAACAGATGGCGAGAAGTACAATATTTCCCACCATAACCCAAATTTAGACATTTATCTGATGTGTCAACTGCCCAATTAAGAGCCACCAATATCACTAGTAACATAACTATCTTTCAGAAAGTGCCTACTTGTCTCAGTGGAGTTAGGAAACAAAAAATAAACACTAAAATTAATTCTAAAGTCTGACATCATTGTCAGAATTGAGAAGTTACCCACACTAAAGAAATCTAACAGAACAACCGATTGCTGAACAGACATCTAGTAAATGAACTAAGGCATCCTGCTTAAGCAAAGAAGCTGTTATTAATGGTGACAACATTGGGCAGGTTGCCTGAGTAAGTTTGCCATCACAACTGGTCCTAAAAGGGAAAAGAAAGCATTTACAGACAGCCAGCAGGAATGCACAAGGCTCAGCAGAGACACAGGATGAAAGGTCCTGTTCATGGTGCTGCCCAGAGCCTCTCTTTACAACCAAAGTCTCCACATTTGTATGCTCTTCACTTTCCCAGAAGCTTAGGGAGGCACTACAGTCAGCACACAGAACATCCAGCACAATGGGGTCAGAGCTCAGGGTTTTCAGTATTACAAGTTAATTAAAGGTCAGGGGAGACTAAAAAGAGGAGACAGAACCCAGAGAAAATTGCTGAAGCCTAGTGAAGATCAGTCTGGACACAGGCACCTCCAAGTGTGAGTACAGTCTAATTCCATATCTTTGGTAAGTTTACAGTAAGTCAAAACTTGCTTGGTATTGAAACACTTTCCAATACAATTCTTACAGATTAGACATTTAACAAAAAATTAATCTACCTGCATAACCTCAAAAAGTGTCTTTCCTGTGTGTGGTAGTTATAGAAGTAATAGAAATTGTGCATTCAATTTACAAAAAGGCATCTATACAGACTATTATGTCATCCTAGTTTATTTCAAGTTGAACAGGTTTTATATTACAAGAGTTCATTTACAAGTTCAAGAGTATTACAAGAGTTCATTTAATTCACCTTTTCCAGTATTGCTCCCGCCACTGGAAGGCACAAATTTAAACTTACTCATTAAAAAACAAAGGGGAGGACAGGGAAGAAACTCCAAAAGTTGCTGACACCACTAGTAGAAGACAATACAACTACAAAAACCCAGAGTCAAAAATGAGGCATTTCCATGCTCTTCCTATGGGATTTTTTTCATTACTAACACAACTGCAATTCTTAAAACTGCACAATATACACTTGCCATCTGTTTTGCAATCATCGGCAGACAAGCCATTTGCAGTTTGTGATAATTGTTTTAAAATCTGCATCTAAAGATGCTTGTAACAACATTTTATAGCTAATGTAACCTCCCCAAAATGGACGTCTATTGGAGAGCGCTTCATTCTTCATGTCTGTCTTTGACACTGAACTAATAAGTTCAAGGACTAGGAACGAAAACAAACAAAACCCTTCAAATAAACACACTAAAATATCAGTTTTCTCACAACAAAATAACAGGAGTCAAAGACAGAAACTTTATCCAATAAATAACAATCCTAACCATTTAGCATTTAAGTTTTCTATAAAAGAGCAGATCAGCATTTCTGACTGAAAAAAGTTAGAGAAATCCTTTGCATCTGTATAGAAGCATCAAGTTGAAGGCAGCATCATCAGACTGATACTGTCTATCATGCAGTCAGACACATGTAAGGCAGCAGTATGTGACCTCCTCTGAGAATAAATTTGGGTATGATAATATGGGTATGGTCGATTTGTGTATGGTATCTCCACAGAGATGAAAGAATGGAAACACCAGATATCCAGTAATAATTCTTGCCCCTCTTCTGTTTTTGCCCTGTTCCCTGGGTGGTAGAGCCCAGTGATATTTACCTAACCTTTAGAAGGTTTTATTAACAGAAGCCTCACTGGCAAGTTCACTTACACCAGCCCATTCTCAAAAAAAAAAAAAAAAAAAAAAAAAGGTCAGCAAAAAGCTAGCAAAGAGGTTTTGTTTCTTCTTTTTCTATTTCTTATTTTATGCATTCATTTAATGAAGCTAAGAGCCTGGCTGGCCCTACAGTCTGATACATCCCTGGCTCAATGCCTGCATACTCACTGTTGGAGCCAAGGTACCAGACGACTTCGCCATGTGTTCTGTTCCATAATAAGGCACCTACAGAACTCACAAGGGCCATTACCAGAAGAATACAGAACAAAACCAGGATCTGCATGTTGGTCACTTTCTCCACGTTTGATCTCTTCAGAGGTGCTTTGGTTGAATTCTAAACAGCAGCAGAAAAAGAAAAAAGAGCCTGGCAATGGCTTATACAAGATAAAATTGCAGAGGCAAACTCAGTCTTTATTTTCAGAGTCATTAAAGCACTTCCTGTCCATCTACTGTTGGTCAGCAGCAGTGAGCAACACATACATATTGCTGGTCTCTCCCTGCCATTAGGGCAATAGTAGTATTAACCTAATCAACTTCACGGTCTTTACTATGTCCTCAGCTGTTAAATTTCAGTTTTAAATGTCATCCAGCTACCAGATAAATCAAGATGAAAGTTAGTTCTTACATATTCAACTGCTTTCAAATACTTCAGTGTTTACATACATGCACATGCAAACTCAAATACAACAGTACCTTTGTATTCCTCAAGGCCTCCAGGTCTTTAACAGCTATAATGAGTCAAAGTATTTCATAAAATCCAACCAATAACAAGGAGAATACAGGAAAGATGACCAGCTTATATTTAAATCTCCTTAAAAACTTTACCTGCATGAGTTTTGTATCATGTCCTGTATACACAACAATACCCAAGACCCATTGAGTGTTTCTCAGTTGTGCACCCCTCAGCAAGATTTGGTCTGGCCCAACAGGAACTGGGCTGCAAAGCAAGAAGTATATCTTTCAATTCTTGGTAACACTAAGGACAGTAATTCTACTTTCAGACTTACACCTCAGTGAGAGGGGGGGAGCGGAAAAAAGAGGAGAAAGTAATATAATGACCTAAGATTGTCCGCACAACTGAAGAAAGCACTGAAACCTCTCTACTTCCTGCTAAAGCACAGTAGGGCAAAGCTGATACAAGGGAGCTGTTCTAATTACCCAAAACTTGAGAACTTACGTCGCAGACATAAGCCTGTCTTGCACTTGACCTTGGCTACTACTTTCTTTCTCACATCAAGGACAGAGAAGCATCACACTTGCAAAGAGACTATCTACTCCAAGCACACTGTATCACATACACCAATACACAACCATTTGGGAAAAACTGTATTACCCACATGATTTTCAAGTCAGATGCAAATGATGATCTGCTATTCTTCCATCTGTCACTACACAGCTGAGTTGCCCAAAGAATACAGGTTTTGTGAAGGTAAAGAGGTACAGCCAAATGAAACCTGTATGTTCCTACCGACCTTTCAAAATCTGTGAATTCAAGTACTAAGTACTTTTCTTTCAACAGCTGCAACAAATGAAAGTCACACTGATAAAGCCTCCAGATTCTGGGATCATTTTTCTCTATAGACCTGACCTCGGTGCAGCCTTTGGCTCTAGCTGGAAGGGACAGGTTTCTATTTCCTCTGTGTATCTTGTGTAACAAGACAGCCCTAAAAAACCCTACCATTTCCCTGACTCCTTCTCTTTACATGTACCTTTTTTTAAAAAAAATTCACCATAATTACAAAGAAACCAAGACTTCCATAACAACCAGAAGGCTCCATACAAAGACAGAATTATGTTATCTTATACTGGCAGATGCTCTGATTAACTATTATTAACTATGACTCTTCCAGAGCAAAAACATGCATGTGCTCACTGTAACAGACTAAAAGAACACAGCAAACATTTTTCCAAACCAAGTGACTTTGGCTTTGTTGTCAAGTTAATACCTTTGGCCATCTAAGCGCAAGTTTCCAGTGAAGTCATAAAGATGACGGTTGGGTCCTTCACATTCTATCCTCCCAGATACTTTCATCAATTCTTCCCTGGACTGGAGACTAGCAGTTTGAGACAAGCCCTGCAAAGACCAAATCAAAAGAGATCGTCAAAAATTGTTATTAGAAGGCAACTTAGGAAAATGGTGCAAGGAAGATTTATTACGGACACATACGAACCTGCTAACAAGATCGACTTAAACTCTCTATACAAGATAGTTATATTTACCTACATGATCTCTTTAACCAAGAAAAAAGTTCCATCCACAAAGCACAAAGTTGCACACAAGCAACTTCAAACCATATCAAGGAGGTAGACGAGAAGCAGTATAAACAGACCTGGCTTTTCTCTCAAAGTATAGCTCCACTAATGTGTTATTGCTGCTAAATATAGTCATTGCTAAGTGTAGTCTCTTGGGTCACTGCAGCCATTATGCTCCATTCCTGCTCAAGGTTAATGATTCACCTGCCATGCAAGTGTAATCTAATGTATTGGTACTCCATCTCAGAGTACATGTACAGTGCTCCACTGCTTTTCACCTATGAACAGAGGGATCCATTTCATGTTTCTTTTGCCAGAATTTGACTGCAGCACTGCAAGCCAGAGCAAGGCCATATTTTTGTATTTTAATCATGCGTCCTGAAGCAAGTAAGATCTTACAGAAACTCAAGACCTGACTTTTTAGGCAGAACTGCAACGGTAAATCACATTTCTACAAATGCAGAAAAGAGATAGCAAATATACAGATTTTTAAAAACAAATAATCTGTGTTTCAAAATCTGAATCTAATTTTTTTAATGAAAAAAAGAAGATTCTTAACTATTTCTAAAGATTATAATCAACAGTGTTGATTATAATCAAATTAAAAAGATCCAAATACATTCCACTACTTACTGCAAAGAGATAAATTAACTTAAAACATATAAAAGGTCCTTCTCAGCTTCTGCCTCTGCATAATGCTCCTAGAACGGCACTTGTGACAGAAGAAACTGCACCTCTCATCACAAGCACTGCTGATATTCTTTTTTATGTACAGGACTTAAATCCCACTTACTGGACCTTTGGCAAAACATAACAGAGGTCTGTTTGTCTTTGAGGGCTTAAAATACTTGCTCCAGATTAGTTTCTGTACACTTGTATATGATGCACTGTTGCTTGGGTTTGTATCTGTTGAAAAGGCAGCTTACAGCCACCTGAAAAGAGATCCCTTTTTAAAAAAAAAAACAAACGTACTGGTATTGTCATCAGTTAAGGTAGATGCTGCTTTGTAGCTAATATTAAATACCTAAATGAAAAAAAATCAAATATAAAATTCAATTTGTTTTACCTGTCGTATTTTAAGATTCGTCTCCCCATCGAGGTTAGCTGTTTCAATATAGCACATGGCTTGTGGTTCGCTGGAAGGAGCATGAAATTTTCAATATTAAAACTCAGTACTTTTTGTATACTGCTTTTGTACTAATACAGTTCACAAGAGACTTTTCCAATACACTGCAGAAGACAGAAAACCATATTGGTGGTATCCAACCATGAAAGAGTCAGTTGAAAGTACATATTTAACAGAGATGTCTTTGGATAGGAACAGGGTAATACACCAAAGTACAGAGAAAGACAAGTCTAAATCAGAGGGTTAATAAGAATTTAACAAGTCATAATAAACTTAGATGCCTGAAGTGGATTATTTTGAATTGCAATCCATAAAATTGTTTCAGATTGCAAGAACCATAGACAAAATACCACGTGTATGGAATATAAAAGGGATATATTGGAATGAAGAGAGTAATGCTCTCTGCTATTGAATTCTGTCTGTGAGTTGAACACACAAAAGACCATGTCTGCAAGGTCACCTTAAAGTTGAGGGGCTTGTGGAGGTTCATCTGAAGTCAGTGCTAAAACAGCTTTTTTTTGAGCATCAGAAAAAGGTTCATTGAGATTAAGATTGAGGGCTATGATCTGCATCTTCCAAAGATGTTTCTGCCCTTAGTGATAGCAGTACAAATATTCCTCAAAGAGCTGAATTTTCCACTAGTTAAGCTCTTATCTACATCTAACATGAAGGGGCTCTGCATGAGTAGCACCTCTGATAAGGAAGGGTACTTCTACCAGTTCTTTACTTGACATACCGCTCAAGATTTAAAAATTTTGTATGGAACCACCAAAACTATTTTTCTGCCAGTTGTCTTCTCAGGTTGCTAAGGAATATCAGTTTCCCATATGGATTCAAACAAGTGCTTCTTCAGCATATCACTTCCCATATTCTTGATACATTACTAGTTTTCTTCCAAAGTAACAAACTGTTTTAACAGCAAAAGTACTCAATCAGCAGAAGAGTCAGTAATAAAGGCTCCTTAGGACAAAAATAATTAAGAAATGGATAGGTACATTTGTAACACAGTAAGAAACTAGATTATTCTCTCCATATTTTTCTTTTTAAAAAGAGTCTGTTCTTTGTCTCCTCCTATATGGGTAACCTGAATCTGAACCCAAGAAAGACACTGATGAAGTCCAGCTTGATTCCAATTTTGCCTCTGCCAAACACCTTATCTACTACAACTGACGTGCTTAGGTCAGGAGGTAGACCTTCTGCAATACAGTTCCTCTCACTTCTACAGAAATGTGGAATTGTTTCCATACAAAGTTGCATTTGGATTCAAATGGTTTTTTCCTTCATGTAAATTTATTCTTTACATAAAATTCATTTGATGTCACCTTTTTTTCCTATGTGGAAAAAGAGCCAAGATAAAAAACAGTTGTTTGTTTCACCTCTGACAATCAGCTCAGACACAGAAGATCAACACACAAGCATAAGATTCAAATCCTTCAGAGCATGCAGAGCTTTCTGGTGAACTGAGGACACTTAGTACCGTCATTTAAAGGAATCATGAGAATAATACCAATTGTAAAGCAGCATTGCCATAGAAATTGCTATTTGTATCAAGCAAAGCTTCTCCCAAATTAACATGCCTTGGGTTAAATTCTCTAATTATTATGTGGTTATTAATGACAGCAGGTTAGCAGAACTGAACAGTAGACTAATGTAGAACAAAAAGCTGACACACACAAGAAATATATCAGAGGGGTTTTTTAGTGTAACATATTAGAGAAGTTCTTAAGTAGAATATTCCTCATTGCTGAAATAGAAAACTACTGATGTCAAAGTTTAGCTTCACTGCATATTAAGGTTGACAACTGCTTATTTGAAGTTTGGTGTTTGTTTTAAAAAAATACAATACTGTGTACCATGGAATGAAGATGTCTCTATCCTTCATCATGTGACAATTTAAGAAGACTGAGCTTCTACATATAGCTTTGAAAAAAATGAAACCTCTCAGAAACAGTATAGACAAGAAGAATGGAGCAGAAAATAGAGAAGTTTGAAAAACAAGTTCCTTTAAAAGTTAGGTTAGGTAAGAGAACTGTAACCTACAGACTAGAGCGACCTACAGTCACTGCTGAAAAGCACACAGACAGGAGAAAATTATGGAGAACAGCAAGGTGTAATAAGGTTCACCTATTAGAAACATGTTTAAGAACAGGCACTGTGCTACTGTCTGCTATTACCATCACAATATTGTGTGATATTGTCTTATGTTTAAACTTCATCTGTCTAAGCAGACTATGGTCTTGATTTGGCTTGAAGTTGTTCTACACAATACAGAATCTAGATCAGAAGCCAAGTACCGCTCAAATGCTTTTAGGAACTAAGAGACCTAGACAAATTAGGGGCCTAGGCAACCACCAACCATATGAAGTTTAACTATGGTAAGTGCCAGATTCTACTCCTGGGACAGAGCAACCCTGGATGTATGTACAGACTGGGGAATGAGACACTGGCAAGCAGTGCCATGGAAAGGGACCCCGGAGTCCTGGTCAATAACAAGTTAACCATGAGTCAGCAGTGCCCTGGCAACTGTGCCTGGTGGGGGGGAGGGGGGGCATCAGGCAAAGCATCACCAGCCAGTAAAAAAGGAGGTGATTGTCCAGCTCTGCTCTGCACCGGTGAAGCCACACCTCAAATCCTGCGTGCAGTTTAGGACGCCACAAGATAAGAAAGATATAAAGATATTAGAGAGTGTTCAAAGGAGGGCAACAAAGATGGTGAAGGGTCTTGAGGGGAAGCTGTATGAGGAGCAGCTGAGGACACTTAGCTTGCTCAGCCTGGAGAGGAAAAGATTGAAGGGAGACCTCACTGTGGTCTACAACTTCCCCACAAGAGGAAGCAGAGGGGCAGGCACTGATCTCTTCTCCCTGGTGACCAACGACAGGACCCAAGGCAAAAGCATGAATCTGTGTCAGGGAAGATTTAGGTTAGCTATTACAGAAACATTCTTCACCCACTGAAGAGGGTGACTGGACACTGGAACAGGCTTCCCAGGGAAGTGGCCACAGCACCAGCCCTGCCAGAGTTCAAGAAGCATTTGAACAATGCTCTCAGGCACATGGTGTGATTCTTGGTGTGTCCTACCCAGGACCTGGATTTCTATGATTCTTGTGAGTGCCTTCCAATTCAGGATATTCTAAGACCAAGCTTCATTTGTCAGCATATCTGAATGAAAAGTTGTCTCGTACTTCAAACTAAACCAAGCAAGACTCAACAGGCTACTATTTGCTACCATGTCAGAGATTGGCCATATGTGCGTTGTATCCAAGACAAGGGGTAAACAAGTCAAAAAGTTATTTTGTTATTTGATGCCAACAACACTAGCCTTTTAGATTTATAATTTAAAGAGAAAGCATTCCTAGGGGGAAGGAAAATATGCTGAACACTCAGTGGAATTAACTGGAAGGAAACTTAAGCTTTCTTAATTAAGTGGAGGGATTCTCAGAAGGCCATAGAGCCAATGACTGCATGAAGCTTGTGTAAAGGACCTTCAGTCTTCCAACAAACTCATCAATACATAGTATTAGGTACCTGTAATTCACAAAGTGAAGTCTTGAAGAAGCCTTCTTTTTGAAGAGCCTATCTACAATGATACATGAATCATTGCCTAGTAAAGCAGTGTTTTGACATTACTGAAATTTCATTTTAGATGTGGAGTAGAATTAGTGCCATCTGATGTCTGGTTTTATTAATAACAAATACAGAGACTTAAGTCCTCTGCACCTCAGTTCATCAGACACATCATTTCCACACCCATTCTGGATACCTGGTAGATATAATGATCATGTCTGCTGGAAGATGTTGCCCATTGGTGACCTTCACAATATCGCCTACTGCTACCTGTGGTCAGGAGTACAGTAGCATGGAAAAGAAAAACAAACAGTTTGCTTGTCTGGAATGTTAGTTTGTTATTTTCTTTCACCCAGTCAGAAGAACAGCATCATGCACAGAACAGCTAGAGACAGTGCTTCTGAAAGTCAGAGTACTTTTCACTGCAATTGTTAACTTCTGTGGCTTATATTTAATAAAACTTAGTTTTTTCTTTAATTCTGCCATTATCCAAATTTAAGGGTTTTTCTTTAGTCTTATTTAACATACCGAAAACGTCGTCACTAGGGGAAAAAAAAATCCATCTTTAAACTTCACCTCAAATATCAAGAGTTTCTTCTACTCATACTCTATATTACTTACCCACCCAATCCTCACTATCATTTTCCTTTAATTCTCCATAGATGCACTGCTTGTACTAGCCACTAGCAAGTAGTATCATCTCTACAGGTATATAACATAATCCAGTTCTTCCCTGACATAGTTACAAGACATATGCAGAGTTCAGAACTCTAGAATACTGAAGGCCCAACACTTTACACCACCTTTAATTAGTCACATGCATGGGACTTTCATTCTAAAAAGAATCAAGTAGCACTCTCAAAACAGTAAAACAGGTTTGCCTGATGAGCATCAGGCTGCTTGGTGCCAATGCACTGCTGCAAGTCTGAAATGGGCTTAAAATACTTCTAAGACATTAATTTTTACAAATTGAAACAGATGGCATGTTTGAACAAGCAGATTCATTAGTTTTACTCTGTTCCCACTGAAAATAAATTTCCTATCAATTTCAGCACAAAAAAAAAAAAAATCAGAAGTCTGATTAAAGTGATCAAAGTGGTTAGCACAGAACTGTTATTCCCTAACAATAAATGCAGGCCTGGACAATATGCAGATACAGTCACAGGTCGATTCAGGAAGTGCTCAATGCTATTTAAAAAAAACCAGATTCCCGACTTAGCTTTAAGATAAATTTACCATCTTTTCTACAAAAATAGGACATGGAACTGCATGAACAGGAACCAACACAAGCCACCACAAGCCCTGGCAATCTTTAGTTTCTACTATAGCCTAACACTTCAGCAGGATTGCTTTTAGGTGTCCTGAGACTGATGTCATTTCCCAGAGGTTTTAACAGGGGGCATGTTCTCCTCAACTATTAGCTAAGAGGGCTAATTTTTTCCTTTAAAAGGCATTAAGAGCCACAATTAGATCAATATATCCTAAGGCATTTCAGCAACTTCCAAGTCCTAGAGACAAAGCTCACCAGATCCTTGCAGAGGGCTTCACAGAACATGGGTCCCAAGTGCCTCAGTAGCAGCAGAGCTTGTGTTCCTTATTTGAACAAGCAGCTTACTAATTAGTCTCAAAACCTGGGAACCTTTTAGCACAGGCAGCAAAGTAAGACTCTTTTAGATTTGCAGGGGAGGTCCAGTATTGCAGTGAAAGTTACTCTTCTAGATGTTGACTACAAACAAAATACTCTTTACAGTTTACATATTAACTACACAAGCAAAACCACAATGGTTCATTAGCATTTGACTGTAACATAGTATTAGGTTTTAAAGATGGGTACTCAGGTGACTTGCTCAGGGCGATTTTGGCTACTGCAACAGAATGGATCCCTCCCACCAGCCCCACCCCAAGAGACAGAGAACTCTCACATCCTGCACATTAATTCTAAGCCTCCGAATTCGTTTTGGCAAGAGTAATTCTTCAACAGCTACTTTTATTACCTCCCATCCCCAGGTTTTATTTACCTCTTTCCACATAATGTTCTGCCACATCCCATTTCTTAGAACTGGAAAGAAAGTTTAAAGTTATATTATAGAATAAATGGCCACAATTCAGACAAATTTCAAAACAACTATATCAGCAGTAGCAAACACTGACCAGAACAGGAACTAACATACAGATCAGAACTGTACTTTTCAGAAGCTGAGACAATACTTTTGCCTACAGCTGTAGGCACATGAATCCAAGAACAAGGAAGAATCTACCCTTCATATTTATATAATTTTTATCCCCTGCTAGACAACAGTTGATGGTCTGATTTCTTCTTGGTATCATTTCACACTAACCTGCAGACGGGCAGCATTGTTTCTTGTGGGAAGTGACCTTCCTTAAAACAAAGAGCATTACTGCCCACTGTCAACAAGTATTAGGAAGCATCTGTGAATGACTTACCACAGCATTTTCGCTTCTCATCTTATTTCTGGCATTTTATTCATAATATTTTGACTCTGACACATCCACCTTCACTACCATTACCAATTGCCCATGTAAGGTTGAATCTTAAACGTCAAGCAGGCTCAAAGCCCTGCTGAAAACAAATGACCAAATTCAGCAGAAGGAAAATCCCAGCTGTTGAAGTTCACATTGAAATTTTTGGGTTGCAATGTTGCACTTTCTACTGTGCTTAACTCCAAAGGACAGAAAAGGACAGGTCTGCTCTAGAATACTTACAGGATAAAATTGATAAATTATTCATTGTCAAAAGGTACCTGGTTAAAATAATGAAGGACAAATACCTAAAAAGACTGTTCCAACTCAAAAATAATTTCAATATAAACCTTCTAAGACTTTCTAAGACTAAAACGCAGTGTACTGGTGTTCCAGATCTAGGACTTAATGCTGTCACTCACACCTAGACATGTAGGGCTATTTCAAGTGCAGCTCCTGAAGGGCAAGCATCTCCCATCAGACTTGTGCCACAGTTTGCTAGCCCTGTGTGTGTCTACTATTTAAGTGCACCCCATATAGCATTAAATGCTCATGACTTAGTTCTGTTATTTGACAATGGGAGGACCAATACATCAGAACGGTTATTCCTGAGCCCTCTACATCTATGCAATGTGCTGCTCAGGGGCTTCATCTGATTACAACTAGTCTGGTTCGATTCAACATCGTCTCCATATACAAACACATGAAGCCACCAAAGATATGAAACACTGGCTCAGAGCCTAACAGGCTCCATCTCCTAATGGAAACTTACAGTGCTCACCTAGAGCAGAACTTTCAGTTTAGTTTGCTCCGAAGCGAATTTAATTCCTACATACCGAAGCCACTCTACAAAGCAAACCAATGTTTTCCATGGTAAATTTAATACAGTAAAGCCTTTTGAAGATACACCACTGCTCTAAAAAACCAAACATGAAGATAAATTAAAATCCTACATAAATGCTGCCGAAATAAGCAATTGGCCTTTACAGGCAGCGGAGCTCAGGACACAGCCAAGCAGAGAGCAGGTGTCTACTTTTCAGTGAGCTCGACTGCTCTCTGTACTGAATGCATTGATTAGACATCACTCGGCTATAAGAGGAACCTAAAGGCACACAGAGAACCTAAATTTAATTCATCTTAATCCCACTCTGAACGTAAATTAGCTTTTCATTCTGATAATACACGCTTCAAGGATGAGCTCTTTAGCCTTCCTCTTAAGAAGTACAAGGATATGGTTTTAAGTATCAGATGGAAAATTTATTTTGAGTATTCAAATGTAAAAAATAAAACCTGAACTAAAGTAATTTTTCAAGTGCTTAGTTCAGCTTAGCTCCATTAGAATACTTTGTTTTCTTTAAGGTTGTCTCTCCGCAGTAACTGTGATAAACTTTCCTTGAAGTGTTTGTTATCAGGTGTTCTCTAGCTACAAATTAATTACAACTGGCTCTCTAACCTTAGAAAGGACCATCTTTCTTATTACCTATAACAAGGCCTGTTATGCTACACGAACTTAATTGCCAATTTGCAATGACTAATAAATACAGTGTTTGAAACAAGTTTCAAGTGTATACAGCACTTGAAACATTTCGTAGAGACTCTTGTAGAGAAATTACCTCGGAGAACTGGTAAAGCAATGCTTTTTGATGAAGATACAAACGTAATGATCAACCCAAATTTTCAAGCACCAAATTCACTTCGAGTAACAGGTAATAATGTTTGCAGGACTATCTGAAGCATAGAGCTAGCAGGTTGTTCACTTCCCCATGTGTTCCTCTATCTTTTTGATACTTCAGGTATATGTGTTTGGGAGGAAGGGGCTCTACTCAGAGTTCAAATCCCTGTGTTCCTGTTTCCCCTGCAGATCTGCACAAAGGAACAGAAGAGAAGCTGTCCAACGTGGGAACATGGACCTGCCCTATGGCATGGGCTGATCACAGGGTGGCCATTGATAAGCTCTACCTATTTTCTGTACAGGTTTTCGGTTAAGGGAGATGAAGAAAATCAAAGTGATGTCTTCAGGTACAGAGTGCCAATGACAGTTAATACATTAGGGATACTCACAGGCATTCAGTAGATATCAGTGTTAAAATTTATTTCAGTAACACTTCAGGAAAGCAAAGCTACAAAATTCCCAGACTTCTTATGTTTTATGGACAGCAGCACTTACAAAAATGACTTAAAATTCTTTTGACACCAACTTGTAGTGTTTCAGGGGGTTGTTGGCTTTTTTTTTTTTTGGGTGGGGAGGGAAGGATGGAGTCTGGCAGAGAAGAAAATTGCTTGATTTTCTCAGAGGACCTGAGAACTATATACCTTTGGACAACCTTGACATTACATGAACTTATAAATTCTAATAATCCCCCCAATGCCTCACCCTTAAGTGTCAGACAATGATCAGCCTAAAACATTCTGCAAAGTGAAATCCTAACATATCCTAAAATACAGGTAATTACCAAGTCCACAAGACATGCATTTCCCACCATCAGGACTGTTAAAACAACAGAATTGTTCAAAAGTAAGTATTCACTATTTGCACTTTAAGTATTTAAAGAGTGTTTAGTCTTACCTATTGTTTTCTTTTTATTCACTGCACTGTCTGCCTTATGCCTTTTCTGCAAGGAAACAAAACATTTATTACACCTCATTACACTTCATTACAAATTCCAAAACCATTAGAGCTAAAACAAGACAAACTGAGAGACTATACATTGGGTCATTTCTGCCTTTATATTTTTGTTATTGGTTTGCTTTTGGTTTTGTTTTGTTGTTGTTGGGGTTTTTTTTAAGCCACACAGATCATCCAAGTCTACGTGGTTTATAAAACAGTGTAATGTAACTTCAAACAGAGTATCCACGTTGGAAGTCAGGCTCAAACCTGACTTCCAATGGCAAAAAAGTATGTCTCAAATCAGTTTTTTGGAAGAAAAAAGGAACAATAAGGAGCACTATATTTAGATAGCAGTTGAACTACACATTCTATGTGCTGTTGTTTAGACTGATACCTAAATAATTTTATTCATCAGTACTTCGCAAGCAAAAAGACCTTTTTCTGATAAATGGTATCCAAGCATGTTAGTGCAGATTTTCCCCAAAACAGGATGCTCTGTGCTGAGGTTGCTTGCTTCGCCCCTGCCCGCATTTTCCAGACCATCTAAAAAGGCTACATATTTGTCAGGACTCCAGTATCACACACTCAGCGTCTTTCTAATAAAAGCATGAATAAGCAAATTTGAAGAGGTAAAAACTAGCATCCTGATTTCTACTGTTTTCTTTTTCATCATGTGTAATGAAAATATTTATCTCAGTGGGCTACAGAAATTCTAGTCAAGTTCAGAGCTTTGGAAGTCAAAAGGATCTTTTGCTGCTGTTAAGCGATGACTCAAGACTACAGAGATGCATGGCCTTATGGCATTTAATAGCTTTTTTTTTGAAACATTAGCACAGCCTTCCCCATAACCATACTCACGTAGTCTTCTATGATTTCTTTGATGCCAGCAACTGTTAAAATAAATAGCAATGGCACCAAGGTGGTATACCTTCCTGTTGGAGAGACATCTGGAATTTGCTGTGAACAGAGGGAAAAGAGATACCCATTTTATATTTGTATTTAAAATTAATTTCCAGTAAATTAGAATTTTCTGTAAAGCTCTCAGAAGAGAGAACACAGAGCTTTCTGATTTGTTCCTGACTGCCACCCAATTTCAGTGGGCAAACTAGCTTAAGGTCTCAGTAGGTTTGAAGAAACGATACCATACAGTTACAAGATACAGTTGCTGTAACCTGCCTTTTATTCTATTTCTCTTCTCTTCACAAGAAAAGTATTCAAATGATGCAATTCACATGGAAGCAGGGATAACCCGAACTATCTAAACAGCAGTTTCACAAGAATTCACACATTCTTTTCTCACTATGGTCAATAGTTCCATGTTTTATGACAATACTTATTTTTACTTCATAAGAAAAAAAAAGGAGCTTGACTTTAAAAACTACTTCAAAAAGAGTATCTAAATTGTCTTCCAATTTCAATTACCTAACACATACCTAATTAATATGACTATTAAAATATGTTTAAGAATTTATTTGCAGTTAAGAATAATAACTGAAATAACTTGTATTGCCTTACTATTTCAATTTATAAACAAGACAAAGCAATAAAACAATACCTGCAATAAGGCAATGAAGAGGAAGAATGCATTTGCAGCTTTTCTTATCTGCTCATACAGGAATCGAGGTAGAAATGTCACCACACTGTACTTGGCTGTGCTGCAGGTTAGAAAATTTTCATCTTAGTACTTCATCAGAATATCACAGATCATGACTAAAAAGCTGGAAGTAGTCTTCTAAAAGCCAGCGTTAGAAAGTAATTCAAAGATAACAAAGTCAAGGCATATTTAGAACACGGAGGAAATAAGTTGTTTCTGTTATGATAAAGAGCTGTACCAAACAAAAGAGCTATCACAGACCCAAGAGGCTGACAGTTCCGCTTTCATCATTAGTACCTCTATTATCAGATGAACTAACAGAGAATTTACAATCTATACAAACTTCAGCACCATGAACAGGCAATCATTCATCTCAGTTACAAGCACTTGATCAGGTACTTACCCTTCATCAAAACATGGAATTTAAGTGTTGGAGGAGACAAAGTCAAAAATGAGAGAAACTCTACAGTGCCATTTTTAAAATGCCTCACTTCCTAGTTCAGAACCACTCTACACTCAGCTACAAATAATCCTTCAGAACAATACTCAGTTTTTCAGATTAATTTTTTCTGGCTTTTTTCCCCTATATTTTACATATATAAATATTGTAACAAACATATATATGTAACACTAAAACATAACTACTATTTCTTCTACCTTAAAACAAAAACATACTACACTAGACTTAATCATCTGTGTCATCTATGTAATTTCTTGTACTCTTCACATCAAATCCACAATGGGCATGAATACAGCTTCAGAAAAAAAGTCTCCAAGATGATATGATGATGATTTAACCATTCCATTTTCAAATTAAAGTAAGCCACCCATGCTGTCAAGTTACCAAAACAAACCTAAAAGAGATTAAGATTCTTGATCTTGCAAAGTCCTCACTCTGAACACATTACTTACAACCCATTTATCTACACACCTTTTCGAGACAGTGCAAGGAAACTCACCATACTGCAGAACCTGTCTGAGCTGTGCAAGTGACCAAGTCTATCCAGTAGCACACAGTGTTCCATTACACAAGGAAAAAAATATTTTTAGAGTAGAAAGTACAACTCTACCCTACTTTTCCCCATCCAATTAGCACTGAACATTCCTCCACTATAACTACTGGGCATCAGCATGAGTTGGAGTTTTAACAGCTGAGCACTTGCAGCTCCATATGCCTTGCAAAGGCCAGACAATCAGTGACAGGAGTTTTGAGGTATTATTTTGTTTGGTTGTCTTGGTTTCAGATTTGGGTTTTTTTGGGGTTTTTTGTTTGTATTTGGTTTTGGTTTTTAAAGAAGTCTTGTGTTTCCAAGGAACAAGGATCATTAAGTTATTCTCTTCAAGAAAGAAAGAGAAATTGTTTCCCAGTTGCTGTTTTACTGAAGCTTCCTAGAAATGCCAAGAGCACCTTTCCATTATGCCTGGTCCTTTCTCTACCACCAATAAACCTTCCAGGTCAACCAACATCCACAGCATTACTATTCAGAAATCATGAAGGACTAGTATAACCAAATGCTTTAGCTACAGGATCTGCCTTTCACAATGGATTGCTATGCATAAAACTCTTACTACAACCCACAAGCAGCTAAGGTCAGTGGGGTTCTCTTACCTTTGTATGTATGAGGTTAGAGAACTACATTCTCCGAGACAACTTATTTTCTTTAACCATTTTCCTTTTCCTCTTATCTTTCCCATCCCCAACTCCAAGACATCTAATGAGACACTGCTGCATCTTCCAAAATCAAGCAGTAATGAGATACAAGCAGAATTGGTGGGGCAAGTGAAAAAAAAAATCAAGATCAACCAAAAATAAAACCAGTTAAGATACATCTATCACTTAGTTTTTTCTTCAAGCACCTACAAATCCCTAATTCATTCCCCAAATTCATGGAAATCAGATATTACTTTAACTGGATGTCTTATAAAAGGAAACATGACAGCATTTCTATCACTACAGCCTACAGACTTCGTATTGCTACAACCACTCAGCAGAATCATGTATTATACATATAATCAAATACCCAGTGTGATATTTTACAGAAATTTCAGGTGGCTGGACTTCAACATAGATCCTATTAACTAAGCCAACTGAGTGAAATCATGCATCCAGGCTTAAAGCATGTAACATAGTCCAGTTATATAAATGACATTACTTCCTTGAAGTACTTGTTAATTTCTTCCAACTGTAAGTATTTTTTGTCTCATGTGTAATAACCTTCCTTTAACACAGGACATAATTAAACACATCTCAGAATTACCCTGTGACTTAAAAATACGGGTTAATCAAGTTAACAGTTTAGACCTAAAAGTGAACAGCCCAAGAAGGACTAATGAAAAAAATCAAGCATTGGCAGATATTATATCAGAAGAGTATTCCTCTGGATATCCGATTGCTGTGACTAAACTAAAGGAAAAATTTTTCTGACTGCAACCAAGCTGCAACATTTATTAAGAACATTCTACCACATACCAACTTCACGGTTAGCTGGTCCAAACACAATTCTTACTCTAACAGTTGTGTTAATGCCAACACAATAAGGCTCTTTTTAAAGTTTTGTACATCCTAAGTCACTCTATGTTTTCTGTTGCTGAAGTAACACAACAGATGACTACAGAAAATATATACCACTGTAATTACAGATGGGTACATTCCGCTGTTACCATACAGTAACCATGTGTATGTATAAAAAGCAGGTACATATTATTCAAAAACAAAACTTCCTACCAAAAGCTAATAGTCTAAGCTGGGCAGGAGCATTCAATTGATTTGGCTCTGAAGAACAGTACTTAAAAGGACAAATACAATTCTTAAAAATAATATAAAAAAGCTTTGTGCTCCCTCCCAACAGACAGATGCATTGTAGATGACTTCAGAATAATCAAAGCTCAGGAAAACTAAAATCTACAGGTGAATAGTTAAAAAAAAAAAAAAAAAATCAATCAGCTCACTCATACCAGAGTTTTGGTCACTAAAGATAAATATCTGCACAGGCTAGCCCAAATTAGAGCCATCTTGTTTTCAAAGTGGCTGGTACCCAAATCCAAGAATAGTAGGTCTGCAGTTCACAGAACAGGTTGTGGCAGGGAGGGTGAGGGGAGCAATGGAGGAAACCAAACAACAAACTGGTGTTTCCCGAAGCAACAGCTGTTAACTATGCAAACCTTGCTTAACCAAACAAATGTAACATTTAAACAGGTGTGCAAACATTAGAAGAGACATCTCCTCTATACCTGCAACCTAATTTGTGTAAGTCAAGCTTCAAGTTATACCACTGGGCAAGTCGGGAGAAACAGTACCAAATCCTGTTAAACAAATGAGTTTGGATACACATGAGTACAGCTGGCCCCACTCTTTTTAGGCCAGCACAGAGATTTTTCTCAAAGTAATCACTATATAATTTGGAAAAAGTTGGTGTCATTCACATACTTAAACCTACTACCATATTACTTAAGTATTACTTAGTTATTTTAATAACACTCAAATGAAAAGCAGCAAAAAGTGCACTGAGAACTCAGTAGTAGTTTTCCAGCATACTTCCTCCATTCTTTCATATGCAATTTTTGCACAATCACTTCCGCTGTTGCTATTTTCCCTGTGTCTCAAAAACATTTTATAAAGTCAAGTTTCACTTTACTGAATAATCCCTGAAGAGGAAAAGTTTGTCAGTAATCGAAGCAGAGCAGTTATGTCCTTGAGACACATATGTGTGCTGGCAATGTGCAGCTGAACACAGCTCTGCATTTCCACAGTCAGCCATCTAAAGCACTTCCAACCCTTCCTTTAGAATGACAACTCTTGAGATGAACTTCACCTTCAGGATAACCATGATTAAGAAAACAGAACCTCCTTGAGACACATGTGGTCCCATTTCCAGGGGTGATAAGTACAGCAAACTTTTCCTAGGCAGTACTCACCCATAGCTACTCATGCCACAGTTCACACACTTGAAATACTCTCCAGAGCTTAAGAATGAATACTGCTTGGTGTTGGTGATTTTAATACAATTTGCAGAAACACTTACTAAGAAAGCCTGGCACAGACATCTGAACCACAGCAAAGGGGTTGGGTAACTAAAGTGCATGTTACAGACTTGAACTCTTCTCTCACCAAACAGGCTTTGTTTCCATTAACACGTACAAAAGATCAGATCCCCTGTAACAGAGGAGGAAGAAAAAAAAAACAACCCAACACCCAAAAAATCCAAGACGATCTGCTTGAATTAAGAGCTCAAACACTGTCTTCAGTGCAATGCTGTGGGCATGCTAAGGTCCTGCCAGGCACATGACACTTAATAGCAAGTCTGACATCAGCATCTGAGGTTCTGCTACAAGTCTCAGAAGCAGTGTGACACAAGCTACCTCCAGGCAGTCACCATTGCTGCAGGAGGCACAGCAGCAAGCTTTACACATTTCAAGTGATATTAACAGAAAAAACAACATTCAGTTACTACTCTGAGTATAGAGAAAGCCCATTCATAGGAACATCTCACCAACAAACAATGTTGCCATGCAGAATACTGAGGAGGTTGCTCTAAATCCAAGTGCTATGATCAAAGCCCTTTACATGTGCCTGACAGTGAAAGGTCATCTACCTCCTTGCCCATACAGAAAGTGGTATATTTTCATAAAGAAATTTGCTAAAGAGACATAAAAATCAACTGTTTACAAATTTCCCAAAGAAAATATCACGAAGGCTTATAAGAAGCAATTATGATATGCCTATTAAGTGATTATTCGTTGACTGGAAATAAGGTCCTAAAAAACCAGTGTCAGTTTTTATAACAGGCAGCAATTTCTGCCTGAACCAATGCAGCCCCCAATTCAATTGAAGGGTTTTGTCAGATGAATCCTCAAGCCTATAGTTCCTACAGAGGAAGATTCCAGCCAGCAGAGGTTTCACTGCTCTGTTTATAGCCCGTACACTTCCATCAGCTAAGAAAAGGGTATGCGGTGCTTCAGTACTCCAGACAATTTCAGACCGACTCTGAGCTTGGGTCAGAACAGAGGAGTGTGAAAGGAGCAAAACTTGCTCTAGCACAGTAAAAAGCGCGACTACTTGAA